TGTAACTCTCCTGTTTTGCGTCTCCTGCAGAGGTAAGATTCAAGATGTTGCACGTTCAGCCCAAACATGAGCCTAGTGGGGGATTTCGGACTGGTACACAGTGCTGCCAACCTGCCCCAACACAGGTGCCATCTTGTCTGGGACAGACCTATGAGATTTATGGCTGATAAATCAACAGTATTTACAAGAATAATTTAAGTTCGAACAGAAAGAAATCACACCATCACCAAAAAACAGGTTCTGTGTGTTTGGAAAAGCACGTTCTGCATAGGTATCCTATGATGCAGAATTAATCCAGTGGTTACCGCAATACCCTGTGAGCCAATAACTGATCTTCAAACTGTTACTGGTCCCTATAGGTAGTAACAAGTAAAAACTCACTTTCCTGTCAATCCTGTTGTCTCCAAGTATAAAGAAAACTGTTAAGTTGCTGTTAAGAGTGCCACTCAACATTTTCTATAGCACCTCAGCACACACTGCCAGAATAATACTCCTTAGTATGTTCAGGGTTTAAGTGCATAATCAACACATCGGTCATGTTCAAGTGTGAAGAAATTTCCTTCTGTTTATATTACTATGTAAATCTAAATCAAACATTTCAATTTTCTTGAGGATTTTAATCAAAACCACATTTACATATGAAGCAACTTTATGAAGCCTTTCTTAAAATCATGGCAGTTGATTCCAAACATCTTTTTCTCACTGAGTAGGAGTCTCGCTGTTACATCTGACACCCCATCACTCCCTTGCCAAAAAATATGTCAGCAATGGGCAATGCCAGCAATTGAACAATTGCCTCAAAACTCCCGGAGTTGTGTCCTCCCCAGTCATCAATGGTTATTTTGGGGGCTGTCAAAACAGGACTGGAAATGTTATGAAAACATTTGCAAATGACCAGAACCACTGAAAATTTCTTCAGGTGAAGACTGGAGCAGGGACAAGGGGTAGAAGACAGTCAACAGGCAGAGGATGTGTGGGACTAGTTTTACTTTTCGCCGAACAGCTGTGTCCTTAAGGAAGTAGGGGAAAGGAAAGAATATGGATTTTATTTCACACCAGCATAGCCACCGTATTTCAGTGACAGCTGATGAAATATTAAGGCTGGTTGCTAAAGGGTGGGGGACGGTGTGTGAGCGGAGGGCTCTGTTGGGAGAACAGAAAGGCAGGGTGGCAGATTGTGCGTGGTGCGGTGAAAGGCTGTGTAGCGGGTGTGTGGGTGCCTGCCAGTGTGCAGGACAGTGCTCACTGGGTAAGCGGCGCGTGGCAGATGGATGCAAGCAGAGGTTGGTCTTTAAGATAACTGCAATGCGTTACGACTCTGAGAAACAGCTCTGGCACCGTCATTTCTGCTACAGGCGCCGTGGCAGTGGCTGGGGAACAGACCCCAGGAAGGAGTGATGCCCTGTGATCCCCCACCAAGCCCCGCAGGCAGCCCAGCCCAGCAGCCCGCGGCAGATGGCCGGGACCTGTTGAGCTGGGTGCTCACGCCACCCACCTGAATGCCCCCTGCCGTGGAAATCCTGATTCTTTTGCACTGCACACAGCCCCTGCCCAGGGCCCTTCTGCCCCAACAAACACTTCCTACCACAGCCAGGAGCCCTACTTGCCCCCCAGCTTCTTCCATGCTGCTGCCTCTGTTCATAGCCCCCACTTCCCTCGCTCTCCATTTTCCACGCTGTAAGCCTCTCTCCTGACCCTTCCTTTGCGTTGTCTATTACTGTACTTGTTTCTTTTTGTGTGAGTGACACATTTCACCACAGAGTGTCACAGATACAGCCTTTGAAAAGCAGCCCCCTCTCAAGCAATATTTGGCAGCTGCTTTTAGATGCAGAGTGGGAGCCGAGATCTGTACATTCCCTGTCACAACGGGAGGCACTTGCTAGGGAAGGATGAAACCCCTTACATCCTCTAGTGTTCAAATCATCTGTAATGCCCTGATGATTAGATACCAGACATTAGTGATTAAGTGCTTGTGAAGAGTGCTTTGATAGTGGAGAGAGGATGGTAAGAAGGAAAATAATGTCACCTTCCCAGTAACCTTCTCTATATTTGGACTTCACTCTGACACACAATACAGAACATGCTAACAATACTATCTGCAGGTGATAATAGTGGGTGGCTAAACCAGCAAGCATGGAAGGCAATAGAGAAGAAAGTAGAGGCTGTAAAAAGTCTGCAAAAGCATGCAGGCAATGCCTTTTATTTTGTTTGCTACTACATTATCAAGTCAATCCATGTGACGAAGAACTCTATCTTCTTGCCACGTTAAAGTCAGAAAGGAAAGACTTAAGAGATCTGTGTACGTAACGGGCATGGGACAAGGTTTCTCGCAAAGGTAGCTGGGACTGAAAGCCAATAATTCCCTCCCACAAAAGGCAAGACAAGAGAAGGGTGGAGCTGGGACCTGGGTTCCCAGCCCAACACATGCACCCATGGTAAACAGCTACAGCAGGAAGAAGTTGCAGCACAGGATGCCAGTCCCACCCAAACAGATTTGCTTTTATTTATCATTGTTATTTATTTGTATTACTGTATCACTTCCAAGTCTTAGTTGGACACGAACCCTACACTGTTGCTCTCCGTGAAAGCTTACAGTCTAAGGGAGCTTAGCTTGTAAACTAGTCAGGGATGAAGAAACTTTTGGATGGAGCTCTGGAGAGCGGCTCTCCCTGACGGATCCACCATTACCATTTGGCATCCTGTGAACAAAATGCTGTATTTTTCTACCATATTTTTTCTGTTGGGTACATAGCTGGTCATATGACGGGAAGTAACTGCATTTTGGTCACACAGTAAGTGCATATCTGGTCTTACAACAGGATGTGCTCCATCAGACAATGGGCTGTGCAAGAAAGTTTCACCATATACATGATTGCTTATGTATGTACTCCATGACGGAGAATGATTGCACTTGGTCACACAATAGACATATGTCTGGTGAGGCCAGGTCCTGAGGCCCCTGTCTTGTAGACAGGATACAGTAGGTAGGTAACTCACGGAGCAAAAGGTTAATGGTGAAACAACACTCAAGAGTATGATGGTTTCAGCCCCCTAGCAGCTGCATTTTGTCAAAGTTTTTAAGACTTTGTGGCAAAAGAGAATGTTAATAAAGGATGTGATTTATTTTTATTTATTTTTTATCACATAGTTTAGGCCTTTTCCAGTTTTTTGGAGAAAATGGATGTCTAAAGACTTGCAAAGCAAATCTCAGCTCCAAAACACAGGGAAAGTTTACAGACACATAAGTTGTTTAAGTATTTGGTTACAGGAAAGGAGATTTCAGCCCACCGTATTTCGTTCTGAGTTCTTGTAAAAACTCTTATACCTTTGAGGCTGCATTATGCTTTAGGCCATTAAGCAGTACTGTATTTTCTCTTGATCAGTTCAGAGCATTCCTTAATTATATTAGCTCCTTTCAGCCAACCATTTTTTTCCCCTACAAAAGCATACTTGACAGTCCTGTACATCACCAAGACAGATGTCCATGCAGCATGAACTTTATTTATAAAGGATGGATTAAACATGAATGCCACACTTCTTTAAAAAAGTTTAAATTAACTAATTAACTGGTAAAAACTGAACAGGTAATACTATTTACATAGGACAATGCCCACCTTCCTTCCCAAAACTTAAAGTGAATTCTCACTCTGCATCAAGGACAATGAAATACAGAAACACACTGATTTCTAGCAGTTATCTTGTAAATAGCAATCTAAGTCTCTCAAACTTACAGAACTTACCTTTTCCCTGTAAATGAACCTAAATTAGCTCTTTGGCACAGTCATACTGATGTCTGCATTTCAAGGCCAGTACTGTAATGGACTCGGCCACCTGATGGCATTTCATCAGTATAAAATCAATGATCCTCCCATTGGTGTATCCAGCAAGAAAGGACTGTCCAAATATTAGATGTCTTCTGACAATGTCTATACTCATCCTTCCTGCACCTGGACTGAGTGAAGTTAACACTGATTCTATAAAGACAAACATGACGTTTGCAACTCAGAGAATATTTCCAAAAACCTAGACAAAGACTGTGATCACTGACTTCACATTTAGAACGTACAAAATACCATGATGCCTGGTGCCATTCTAGAACATGTTTTTAGATTTCTACCTGAATTCCTCAGAGACGTAGTCTCCATTTTCGTACTCTTTTGAAGCACCTTGGCAGGAAAATATCCCCAGAAATTGTATTGGGAGTGTTTCAGAACCATCTCATCTGCTGTCTTGAGTGCACTGGGCCCAGCTTGAAGTCTGTAGCCAGTGCAACTATTTAATCAGAAACCGGGAAACACCACTGTTCTAGATGTAATAAGTCACTTGCAGGTCAGTCTCTCCATTTGGTCTCTTCAGTTACTCAAGGTAATTTCAGTTTCAGGTTTAAATGTTTAGATCTCATTTTAAAATCTACGTTCTTGATTCTCTTCCTTATGCTAATAAAACCAGACATATAATTATGCTTCTATTCCAAGAGTCCTGTATGGTAAAACTAGCCAGTGTGGCACCTGTTCCAAAAATTAAGGCTCCAACTGAGTTCCCATTATTTAAGAAATATACTTTACAAATCTTCATATAAAAAGCCTACCTGGATCAATCAGTAGCAGTATACTACAAAACTGTAACAATTCGTGTTGCCTTGTGCCAGCTGTTAGATAAATAAGACTTGTAAAACAAAATCTGCTCCTAACTTTACATTTTCTATTTCTGGAATGTACAAAAAGTTTTCTAAAACTCTTGCTTATGAACTTGCATGTGGTCTTTTTTGTCACAGAAGAAGTGCATTCATTGACCTCCCTTCTGATGCAAAATGATTTCCGCCATGCAGAGTAGTAAGTTTCTGCATCTCTCCCAGGAATTAGGAATTACTTCCATCAGAAAATTAAATTAGAAAAGTCACTTCGGTGTTTGGAAATATGAGCGCAAATTGTCTGATTAGATATCATTCTAATAAACAATGGAAAACAGTCCTGTTTCTGTTCAGAAAGCAGAGCCTCTCAAAAGTCATTTCATAAGATGGTGGCAATTAGTCTCTTGTATCATTCAGGAAATGTGTCTCTTTTCAATTAAATATGTCGTCCAGTCAGGAAGAAAAGTGGTCTGTCCTCTTTTGCGTTGGCAGTCTGGAATTCATCCCGCAGTCGGAACTGCCATTCGTCTTCCAGCTCTAGCCGGACAACAGTCTGGCGAAGAGAATTGCGATCTTGACAAATCACACACAGGGTGGCACCTAAGCAAGCAGTTAAAAAGAAACCCACGTGAGTATCCCCTTTGTTCTCATATCACCCAGCTCCCACCACCCCTTAGCATGTAGAACTCCACCACTTTCACAACAGGAGTTACAAATGGGCTTGGGAGAAAATTAAGACACTCATGTAGGACTGAGCAGAGCTATGTTCAGCTCCCTATTGATCAAGATCTTCTTGTGTAACTTGAGGTATCTAGTATTCATCTAGTAAACAGGACTAACAATACATTCCCTACTCTTTAGGGTAAGGAAGGGTAAAACTGTCAGGTCTAAGGAGGTGGTGATGGGTCCTGGCAGAAAACAAGATAAAGCCCAACATCCATTACTGTTCTAGCCCTACTGATCATTACCTTGTTGAGTGAACCCCTCACTCAGCAGAACACTTACACCACAAGTCAATCACCATCACAGCTGACACAAGCTCTTTGTGCTTTGCTGACCAGAAATGAGCGAAACATGTCCTTAAAACTAATCACAAACTTTAGTGCTTTTCGGATTGGTGAGCTAATGTGCTGGCAAAGAAGAATCTGCTCTGTATGGCTATGGAGACAGGCGAATCCAGAATGCCAAAGTAAGAAATATCATATTTTAGTAAACAGTATCAACTGCCTTGACTGGCATGCTGATACCATTTTAACTTGCATGCATGATTTCCTGGCTTCCGAGAAAAGTGCTCAACTAAGAGGAAATAATTACCTCGCCAGCATTCAATAATCTGAATGAGAGATGGTGAGGTAAATGGAAATGCCCAAGACAAAAAAAGCTGAGAATATAATAAAAAGAAACAAGACAGACAGTCATGTGGTGTTTAATGTTCACGTGGTGGGTTAGAAAATCAAGCAGACTGCCAAGGGAGATGGAGAAATCCTGAATCAAACACACTTTGTGCTGCACGCTATAAAAATTGTCTGGTTTATGCAAAATGAAACTGATTGATAGCCTCTGGTCACTCAAAAAATGCAGTACAACAGCACTGCTTTCATTTGCAGTTACTCTGATAGCCTTGTTAGAGAAACTACAGGCTGATTAAAATGTGGACACTGCTCCAGAATGAGCATAGACACTGGCACTCATGTGGCTTCAGTGGCACGTGCAGGTTAAAGCACTGTATACCCCAGTTTGCACTTTGCTACACATACCTACATGAAACTGTACTAACTGCAACAAAAAACACAGCAGTTCATAACAACTCTGCCTGTTTCAAGAAGGCATTTGCCACGGTGTTCTTCCTCCTGCAACAGTTATAGCTGTGAGTGAAACGAGTCCCCAGAGCGCTAAATGCCTAAGATAGTAGGAGAACAATCCGAAAGAAGTTTGCAATGTGACTGCCTGCAATACAAATGGAAGTTATTTGTCTCCACTGTTATCCACTACCATAAGGACTACATGGAGGAACTGGTTAGTAGGAATAAATTTTAAATAAGCCAGCTTCTACTTCCAAGCATAGTAAATAGATTTTGATGGAGGCTTGTCCAGCACATATTTTCTATTGAAAGTTAGAAAACCTGCAAGAACACAATAGGTAAATGCTTCATACATAAATCTTAAATACTGTTTTCAAACATAAAGTAAGGAGTTACGTATATACACTAGGCATAATGATACAGATCCAACATTCCTCCCCATGTAGAAATCTGCGGAACTTATAGCACTGTTATATACCAGTTTACTACAGTACAGAGCCAGCATGATCAAGAATCAAAGATGGGTGGGGTATATAAAGACAAATATGAATACATGCATATACATATATATACATGTATATTTTCATATAAAATACATTTTTCTCCAGGTTCCCAGAGACCAGGTCATATAATTCTCTGCAATAAAATTATTGCAGCTCACCTTTAAGAAAATGAAACTTCTTCAAAAAGCTAGCTACAACAAAGGAGTCGCAGAGGTACAGCAGGAGACCACTGAATGTCAAACCAGAGGAACTGATATTCAGAGAGTGAGGCCGAGAACTCACATAGCAAACTGCAATCTGATTGGGAGAGGGGGGGAAAAAAAAATTAACATTTTTCAAGCTTCTATATAAAGTTAAGTCTTGATATCAAGCTTTCAGTATTTGCACCCGACTCAAATTCAGACTTGCTTTCCAACTCCAAATATTGTGTTCTTTATAGTTCCTTCTTAAACATCCCTCTACTTATTAAAAATCTACATAAAAGCACTATTAATAACTATGTATTAGTCATTACTATTCACTACTATTATTATCATGAGGTTTAGATATGATAGGGTTTGAAAGCTGCAGTAACATTAGCTCCTCACAACCATAATGTTGTGACCTGCCCAGCACAGTTTATCTACACATGAGTAAATATAGTAACTGTGCAGTCAGACACAAAAAGAACCCTTTAGAAATGCCTAATTTCATTTACATTATGACAGGATTACTGAAGTCAGTAAAGCTGTGCATATACATAAATGTGCGAGGTTTCCTCTTGTCTAGTTTGTTTTTATGGCTACTCCTCAAATCCACTAGGAACCAGGAATATTCGTAGCACTCTTTCAGGACTTATAAATTTAAATTAAGGAATCTTCCACACAAGGCTTTGTTTCCAAAGTGCCATTGTACTACTTAGTTGGGGCAGACCCTGGATCTAGCATAAATCAGCATGATTCAGTGGAGGAAAGTTGACCCACAGCAACTGAGACTCTGGCCCAGGATGCCTATATTTATCCATATTCCTTCAATCCTATTGTATCATATTCCAGCTCAGGTAACAATTCCAGAACTGAATTGAACTCATTTCATGTGCTGAATGGGTTAGAGCTGAAAGGATGCAATGGATGAAGACAGTAACAGTACAATGCCCTTCCACAGAGTTTGTTTTTCCAAGCATGGTGGGAACGTAGACCTGTAAGAGATCAGCCAGAAAGGAAATTAAAAGATATAGTTCAAAATGTTCTGGGAGCAGCGTATATGGGAAGGTCATTACACAGCTGTTTTGGTAAAGAAGTTTAGTAAATCCAGCAAGACTGAATTTCATTTAGTATTCAAGTCAGGTGAAAAGGTAAAAACAGATTCTCTCACCTGAACAACAACACCTTAGTATCATACTTCTATCCGACCTACATTTGAGTTTAAGTATGACCTTGGCTTTAGATCCAAACCCATCAGAGAGAGCCAACGGCTCCTGAGATCTCATGTCAGCTTCTCCCATTCTGACTGTTTTCTTGGTATTTGCTTCTCTGCCTCAGCTTATCAGTCAAAAGTGAACTAAAACATTTGTATTTTGAAGTGCTTTCTAAGAGCTAGCTAGTATTTGTAAAACACTCTTGTGGAAGAAATTTGCTGTAGGAAGGGCCAAATTATAGCAGACTGAGAAAACACTTCTTAAAGAAAAATGCGCTCTGTGTTAATTCAGAATCTAATATAATTCACAGAATACATTAGTATTTAGGACAACTCTGGTATTGTTCTCCATGTACTTTATCTGTAGCCTCTAATAATATCTCTACGGGACTAAGAATTTGATTTTAACATTATAGGGATCTAATACCTGATTCTTCAAAGGCTGTGTAACTATTATTAAGGAACGCATCAAGGAACTCATCCAAAACATAGCCTATACATTTCTAGAGCTGCTTGAAGATTATTTTGTTCAGTACCTGTGGTCCTAAGTTAAGGTAACAGTCCACAGATAGCACTGGATGGCTATAGTTCTTCAGTGAGAGAGGGAAGAAGCGATGGCTGTGATACTGGAGGTATTTTTCAAGGAGCAACTGAGCAGGTGCTGCCAAGAAGGTATGCTTGCTGTCAGGAGCACAAATGTACTGAGCAGGTGAGATTGAAACTGGAGTGTCAGATACCTATGAGGAAAAATATTTCTGGTACAGATCAATCCTGATCAATCAAGTTGTACTTATCTGAATTTTGGTTTGTATAAAATGTATCTCTATCCTACAAATCTAAGATTTATATAAGAAGCAAAGTCATTCAGCCAAAAATATCTGCTACCAAAAAGTTTCAGAGTTTCACGGATTTATATTTGTATTTATAGAGTCTTTGGGGTTTCTTGTTTGAACCCAAAGTACTCCTACATATGAAGTCATATGAAGATGAGCAATTCAATAGCTATAGATAAAAAGCTCATAGTGAATGGTTACCTGGATCGTAAAGAGACACTTTAGATGTTTTTAAAAGTTTTAAAGGAAAATTATTAAGGAAAGGTACATTTATGCCAAGAATATTGTGGATTTCAGAAAGAAATTAAAAAAAACAAAACATTGCAGACATAACACATTACTGGCAACTGGTGATGCACCAAAATACCTCAGCTCTCCTGGTTCAGGGTGCAAAAAGGAAAACAGAATTTTAACAATAATGAAACAGAGGTCACAGTTCCCACCTTAGACTTAATGTGGAAGGATCGCTGTCCTCCTACTGCAATTTGCTTTTTCATGACACTGAAGTGATTGAACCGACAGATGAGAAGGCCAGCACTGTGGACGCGCAAGTTGAAGTCAACATCATCACACGTAAATCTGGAAAGAATAAAATCATAGCAGTTCAGAGGAATGTTTCTCATCACACAGTAACAAATACAAGCACTCAGGGTCTTTGATCAGCACCGTAGAAAGGACAGGTGTCAAACATACTGACCCTCCACCAGCGCCTATCAGTCAGGGAAAGAGGCTTCAGCTTTGTAATAATAAACTAGGCTAGAACGAGTTCAAGAAGATCAGAATGAGGGAGGGAACCACTTAGGGCGTGAAAGCACCAGAAACGCATATGAAAGTGGAAGCAGAAAGGTAGGAAATTGTCAAGGAAAAGACCTAGGAGTTAAAATATTTTCTTTGCCTTTTACTACAATAACGCAGTCATAGAAAATAGCTACATACATTACTACCCCAAATAAGGTGAAGGAAATTAATTCCTTTGACTTCTGAGGAAATGGATGAGGCCCTACATTTGATTTGTCAAATGCACAGAGGTCTCTGACTACTCATTTTTCCCTTAGAATACGAATATCCAGTAATTTTTTTTCAGTATTCCTCTACAGAAATAATGTCATTTTGCATTAGAGACAAAAGGAGTCTTAATACACCAGAACTGGTGAGACATAGGAATAAATTAAGCAGAATGAGGCCAAACATCCCTGAGCTAAATTTGATCCATTTTAAAAATAAGATGGAGCAGAATAAAAGGTAAACTCCTAAAGCTGACTAAATTCAAATTCTCTGGCCTTTGGAAAATTCAGACTCAGTTCTCCATTTTGAATGTAGATATGATGATGTGCAGAACTGTTGGATTAACATCCAGGGCTTGGATTTAAGAGAGCTGAGCAATTACTGCAACAGTGAACATCAGTGAGAAATGTGGCATTTAATTATGTGTTTCTAAAATCTTGTCTTTGATCTTAGTAATATTTACATGGATATTTGGTATTCCTGAATGTCAGCGTTTCTGTGTTTTAAAATGTACCTTTTTTCCTTGCCAGCCCAGGCTTGGAATGTCATACAATACTTCAGGCTCAACAGCACCCACACAGAGGATTATGGTGAGCCACACATGGTTTAAGGACACAGGCAGGAAATGGGCGGTGTGATCTGGCATTCCTGACATTTTAACATTGCTGCCTGTACTCCAATCATTTTGCTTTATTGTCGTTCTCTTCATTAGCCCTTCATAGCGCTTCATAAGGTAATACAGTTAGACAGCCTGGGAGCACAGTTCTGCACTAGGAGATGCACTGAAGCAAGTTTAAAATGCTCTTTTAAACTGCCAGGCTGGTGACGATAGAAATTTAGGTTGTCTGTTTATCCACAGAATAATGAAAGCAGAAGTGCTTCCCTGCAGTTATAAGTAAACTTGCACTTCAGAAGCCATCGTCCTGAGATAGGAGAGTTCTGAGAAGCACAGTGACTGATTTTCAGTAATCGAAGTCTAGGTGTGTAGAGCCACTTTAGATTACCTGGGGTACCCCACCTAGCTCACAGAAAAACACATGTAGATTTCATGTCATACCTGTCAGCCCATATGGACATCTTGCATATTCTGAGGTGCCTAAAGACCAGCTTTAGACAAGTGAATCCCACCTCTAGTGATATCTATTTCATTCTGTTGTAATAAATGCTTGTCCCTCAGAAATGGGGCCAAAACCACAGTTTATTTCGCAGAGATCAGTGAAATTCTGTGAGATGATGTACCTAGTGAATACAGTTCTGGTAACTGGTGATACTGCGTATGGCAATAATATAATCTGATATATCCTATGTGGCACAATAAATGAAAAAGTGGGATTTCTGAGACAGCTGAATGTGAGAAACAACCACCAATGTCAACGAGGTTTATTTATTCCTTTCTTCTGATTGTCCTGATAAGCACACATGCAGTATGCTCCAGTGTTGTGCTACTCAGGGTAAAAAGTCCAGCTATATCTCAGTTCCATGTCAGAACAAGACTTGGTTATGCGCCATTCACCCATACACTCCTGTTTCCTTTCGAAGGGAGTGCAGGTAAGCGGGCAGGAGGGGAAGTACAGTGTTTACCAAACGGCCACTTGGACTAGACAACTGGGGGACCAATACTGCAGGGCACACTGCTGAGCGTGTCTACCCTGTAATTCAAATATGACTGTTTTATTTGGAACTATGGAAATTAGTGTCTTTTTCCAACTGCTGGCAATTTGGTAAGGATTTGAACCATCAGTAAGAAAACAAAATCTGTCTGCATCCCATTAACAACCTCCCCAAAAAACCAAGAGCTTTTGTAAAACTTCCTTTATTTGGTTCATTATCTCTGTTGAAAGATGCTACTGATTCACTTACCTGTTCTGATTGTACTGTACATTCTGTGTCAGATCAACATTCAGCATAATGAAATCATGCACATGGCAGCAGGAGAATGGTTCCTTGATCTCAGCACTGTTTGTTTTACTGGACCATTTCCTCATACCAATTAAGGCATAGTGAGTGACATTGGGAGTTGCTTCAATATGTTGCAGAATTTGCTTCAAGGAAACATTCCTCTCGGTCCATGTATAGTCACTACAATAATTACAAAAATGTGTTAATTTAAAGTATATAGAGAATATTCAGAATCTCATTCAGCTGAAGAGCAATTCTTAACAGTCGAAAGTAGTTATGAGTATCAGGTAGATAACTTCAGTGTTGTCTTACTTTACTGCAACTTTTTGTCTCTCACTCTAATCAAAACTTAAAATTAATTAGTGCTTATGTGGTGGGGACTGGTATGACAGATCTGAAACTTAGTCTGGATCTTCCAAAATATTCACTCAGATATGTAAACTTTTAGTTACCTGGATAATGTTCCAGGTGGGGAGGGTTGACTCTGGGAGGGTTGCTGACTTTGTGCCATAACCTAAGTGCAAAGTATAAGATCCTCCTAGCCCACCCCTACAGTCCATAAATCTCAGTTTTCACTGAGTTTAGTTCTCTTTGAGGGTTTGCTGTAAATCCTGCATAGCACCACTCTGGGAATAGATAAACATATCTAGTACAAACAATGCTCTAAAGTAATGGAAACAAAAATACTTGTTTGGGGACTTGGGGAGCTAATAAAGGAGCCATACAAACTGGGACTGACAAAAGACCCAGAGGAAATCAGCTGCACAATTTGCACAGAAATGTCTTTTAGGTTCCTTAGAAAAATCCTGTTAAAAACGTACATGTGAATGCCCATGCTTGCCCAGTGCATCAGGGATTGTTTACAGAGTCTGAAATCTGCAGTCCAAGTAACTCTAGTTTGAACTGGAGTCAAGCTATACAGCAAAGGCTGCAGGGCACTTAAATCCTCAGGGGACAGGAATGAAAAACAGGCATTAAACTATATGCTATGCAAAGGCAGATATCTAGGGAAAATACATCTCTTGTTAGGCAAATATTATTCTCTGCTTGTACAGGGTAAAAGTTGTAGTATATCGAACGTAATTTCAAACCTGATATGCAGTGAAAGGTTAAGAGATCAGCTGAAAAAGCATATATTAATCTATTTACCTTTTCCTGTCTCCTGAACAATCAACTTCTACTGCATTCCACATAACACAGGAGTCATCTGAAATGACAATGAAAGGCCAAATATCCTGGGGTTTTATCCCCAGCTCCTCCTGCCGATTTCGTTCAAGCTCCAAGTTATGATAAGACAACTCTTTTATCAGGAAGTGTGCAGCACCTGAAACCAAGGACAATAAACCATCAGATTAAAAGTAGGGGCAGAAATTATTTGCTTTTAACTTGGAAGATTTTTGAAGTGAATATTTCTGCAGACCAGGGTATGAATCACTCTGAAGATTTTAACACCCTAACACTTCCCAGAGCCAACTTACTTTGTCACTTGCCACGCAAGTGACTTATAGGACCCCACTGGGAAGCACACAAAATGAAGCCTGACTTCTGTGGTAAAGATTTGCTAGTGTCTTAAGGGTTTAGTGACTGATTCTTTTAACCTGACAGATATTGGCTCCACTAGCATCTCTAGCGCAAACATCTAGAGATGTTGATTGACCAACTGAATAACATGGGAACAATTTCCCCTGACGATCTACTTTGAATGTTTGTCACTACTGCTGTCTATAAGTTGTTCCAGCAGTAAAAGCAAGGTGCTGAATATTTCACAGATATTGTGTTAGCAGAACCTACCTAAGAGATGTACCTAATCAGTGCATCACTGCCTATGCAAATTGTACATAAGAGGAAACAGAGTAGGTAACTCCATCTGAGTTAACACCCTCAGCTCCCTTTAAAATCAACAGAGGAGAGTAAGTATTTCTAGGGTGCAATTCATCTAGCTTGTTTTAGGTGACCTGGATTAAATGAATTGCATCTTCGACTGTGACACATTGTCTTCAAAGAGAATCCAGACCACCAGATCAGATACGCTAGCTACAAGGTGTGTGTCTACATTTCACTATTGACTAACAACACCTCAAGGGCCCAAGTCATGTGTCCACATTTGTTAGAGCTTTCTGTTATACTTACCTACTCCTGCACTGTTGAAAATGCTTGGAAGAACAAGCATGATGTGGTTGGGCCAATACTTCTTATATATGGCCATTTCATATTCCTTGACAACTAAAACATGCAAATGACTGGCTCCATCCATTGCATGATATAAATTGAAAAGTCCATGTTCATGACGACCAGTGGTGGGAGTAAAAGTGGGGCTTTTAATGTAATCTTCACTCTGTAAATAAAAAGAAGTGTGAGTTTCTCCATTAAGCTGGAGGATGTTTAAACAAAGAGAACCAGATCCTTCAGGAGAATAAATCAGATTCATTGCACTGGACAAACTGATACATTTTAAATCAGCTTAATAGGAAAATAAGCAACTCTTGTAAGAGTTGGGAAAAAGAAAACTCTATCCCTTAGCTTATTCGACTAGTGAGAGTGTGGTGGACTGGATAGGACTGCTAACCTTGACCTGCCAAGTGCACAGGGACTTTGAGGCTAGATCTGGAAAAGGATTTAGGTCTGTATGACATAAGATGGTAAGAAACACCTTACTCCAAAACTGCAGTTTCTGACTGGCTATCACCCAATCTTGAATGCATTGAAACTCAATAGGTGCTTCCAAGTTTGATAGTAAAGCCTCTGAAAACCTTGTTTCTACAGACATCCAGGACTGTTCCAGTCTGGGCAACTGATTTTAGCCTGGTTCCTACTAAGGTCATTAAGGACCCAGAATGAAAGTGTGCCTCTTTACAGAGACTCTCCAAAGCCCCCACAATTAAGCACTCCAGATGTGAAACTGCTAAAGCACAAAATGGTGGATTTGATGCCAGTGGAGTTCATGAAAGGAAATTTAAAGTGGATCAAGAAAAATATTTTATAATGGTTTAATAATCCAGGTTGACATCCCACAGCACTTTTCAAGCTTGCAGCAAGATTGCAGGCACCATTTTGGAGCAAGTGAACAGAAAAAGAAGCAAAGGAAGAATAAATGGTTTTGGCAAAGCCTCAAAGCAGGTCAGTGGCAGAAGCAGGAAAGGAATCCACAAGGACCCAGTGCACAGTTCTGACTGAGTAGCCAAGCACAAGTTTACTGGGTGAGGAAGAGCAGGAGGTTTCATCCTCACATTGCATAGTTGCTGCTGTGCTGCTGCCTGGGTTCTCCCGTTTCAAACTTGAACTGGACATAAAAGCCCGAACTGGAGGGTGGTATTGATTGATTATTGTTTATGGGAAACAGTTTATTTTTTCCAGGATAGAAGTGCTACTGCTTACTACTGTTCCACAAATTGCTTCAATACTCCAAGCAGTGTGGCCTGAGCAAGGCACAGCTTCACGTTAGACATGGATATTAGGAGTCACTGTAAAGGCCAACATCAGAGTTTGCATAGCCTGTCAGATGGATGACCTTACAAAGTGTTTTCTACAAGCGTGACATGATTCTTTGGACAGTCTTGAAGCCATGACAAAGATTCTTTGAAAGCCTTATTTTTATATGAAAGCAACTGAGCATTTATGCAGAATAAGACAGGATAATCCACTGCCTTCCTCTACAGTAAAAAATTGCTTCCTCTTAGTAACTGTATGATAAACACAATGATGTCTCTGAGGCTCACTGCTGAAACCATTGTCACTTTAACATCTTAAACCCATAACCAAAGACCTTTTGCCCCAGATAAGAGTGTTCATACCAAAGGATGAACCTTGATAATGAGCAAAAGAAAAAACGCTTATTGGTGGCTTGACGGTTTTGCTTCATGTCTCCCTTTCTGGGAGAAAATACAAGCTTAGTATCAGGACATCTTCATTATCTCTTGACAGCAGAACCAGAAGTATAAAGAATCCTAATTCAACAAATTTTAAAATTGGTGGTGTCTCTCTCCCGTATATGGCCATAAATATAATTATCCATCTACCTTATCTGTGACTAGTGGTAGCCTCATGCTTTCCAATTGTCGTCCTGGTTGGCTAAAGACAAAATGATGCTCCTTTGACTTTGGAATGATAAAATGCAGCTGGATCTCTTCTCCCAGCATAGAATAGGAAAAGGCAAATGCATGCAGAGTGGACTCATAAAGCTGAGGATGGGAAAAAATAGGATAATTCCAGTGGTTAGAGTCAAACTACAAGGTCTCAGTGTAGTTAATACACATTTATAACATTACCAAACAGACTGCAATCACTTACTGTATCACATTCAATTTTACCTCATGATTCACTAGGCATTAAGCAATGCCCCCTAGGCTAGAGCATACACTAAAAAAAATATAAATTAAACTGTTCCCTCTTTTGAAACCATTGTTTCAGCTTCGTCTTGGAGATGGTACCAATACTTACAAGCCACTCTCGGCTTTCAGAAATACTGACACATAAAAACCAGTATTTGCATTGCTAATACGTTCTTCCTCACATTCTAATAGGCAGGAAATTGGAGGGTTACTCTGAGTAATAACAGTCTGTATGCCACATATAGACTAGTCTACGCTGGACTACTCCTGTATCAGAAGTAGCATCTTTTGCAGTTACTCAGGTGAAAATGTAAGCAAGTCCCAGTGGGAAAAGTTTACTGGGAAAGTAGTTTTAACTGGTAGTATACATGTAGAATGCAGATTGCAGCACTGAATAAGCTAGTGTAAATGAGGCAAGGATTAGTCCTCTGATGTCCCCAAACCTGCAGTCTGGTCAAGGCAGGCAAACCTCAAGAATTGTATTATAACACATACATACAACTTCTAAGCCAATTCATATACAGTGAATGTACACAAAATTGTGTTTAGGTTGTGTCTGCTTCTATTCCTGATCTGCAGAGTAATATCTGGAAATCTTTACCTGGTACCTGGGATTGAAACCCATATACTGATGACACTGTTCACAGTGATGGTAGGTGTTATATGCTGCATACTTGGACAATCTCATCCTAGTTGTTTGACGGCGTGTATACATATCCTCCTGTCTCCTGTTCATTGATCTGTCTATTAAAAAAAGAAACAACTTAAATGTAACATATATTCAAGGCCAGAATGTATTCCCTTGTGACAAACTGTTTCTGTCACTGTAATTAGCTTCTAGGAACAATGGCAGGATTAAACACATGCAAAACAAACTATGAATTCATTCTGAGCATAGTATGTTTTATAAATTGTTATGAACCGCAAAGGGGACTACAAAGAAGTATCTGCAAATTCATGTTTATAATAATTCTGTACAGATTTCACATAAGGCTGAGGTGTAAGTAAAACCAGATTATTAAAATTATTATTGTCACTGCTGTTATTATTGGTTGAATGCTTGCAAAAGTAATAAATAGTAAAAAAGACTCTTATGACAGACATTTGCAGTCCTGTGACAGACATCACAGTAGATTATGTGAAATGAACTTGGCAAATTTAGCGATGTTGCTCTTTAGATAATATCCACATTTTAAAAAAGGGTCTCCTTTGTGGGAGACTGAAGGAAGATGAGATGTAATTTCTGCTGAAAAAGACTTCTGTTATGTCATCTGGCCAAACCTTTCACTCAGATTTTCAGCATCAGATCAGGTTGTTCAAGGTTGTTCCTTGTCCTGTCAAGTTTTGAAAATCACTAAGAGTGGAGTTTCCACAGACTCCCTGGGCACCTTGCTCCATGGTTTGACCACTTTTATTGTGGAAATATTTTTCATACTATCTAATTGTAATTTCCCATGTTGCAATTTGTGTCTGTTGTCTCTTGTCCTTATGTTGTGTATCTATAATAGTTTGCGTCTATAAGTTCCCATAAGGAAGCTGAAGACAGCAATCAGATGCCCCTGCTAGACTTGTCCAGACCGAACAAACCCAATTCTCTTTGATTTTCTATGTACATCATGTGCTTCAGGCCTCTATCCATCTTGGTGGCTACCCACTAGATTCACTTCTGTATGTCAATGTCTTTCTTGTACTGGGAAGCCAAAAACTTGACAGAATACTCCAGATGTGGTCTTACAAGTGCCATGCATAGAAGAATAATCACTTCCTTTGACCTGCTTGCTAGATTTTTAGTAAGCCATTAACCCAGTGGAGAACTGGTGACTCACGTTCAAATTGTTGTCTACCAGGATCATCAGGTCACCTTCCTCAAAGTTGCTGTCTATACAGCTGGCCCCAAGCTTGTACAGATGCAAAAAATTATTCCATCCCAAGTGCAAGATCTTGCATTTACCTTTGTTGAACTATATGAGGTTCCTGTTCCTGAGGTTCCTTCCTGGAGGTTCCACTTCTCCAGCCTGTCAAGGTCTTTCTGAATGGCAGTGCTACCTTCCTGCATATTGACTGCTCCCCCCAATTTCGTATCATCCATGAACTTGCTGACGTTGCATTCTGTCCCTTTGACCAGGTTATTAATGGCAATCTTAAACAGCATTTGCGTCACTATCAGTCTCTGAGTATTGCCATGCATACCCAGCTGTCAGTCAGAATTGTGCCACTCATCGCATTTTGAGTTCAGTGGTCCAGCCAATTTCCCACCCACTTTACAATCCACCCATCCAAACCATCTCTCTCCAGTTTTGGCTATGTGGATATCATAGAAGACAGTGACAAAAGCCTTGCTGAAGTCAAGATAAAACCACTGCTCTTCCTTTGTCCATAGTGCCAGTCATCTCATCATAAAATGCAATCGTGTTTACCAATCACGATTTGCCTATGACAGATCCATTCTAGCTGCTCCCAATCACTTTCCTGCCCTTCATGGGTCTGGACATGGCTTACAGGAGAGTTTGTTCCATAATTGTTTTGAGGACTGAGGGTAGGCTGACTAGGCTGTAATTGCTTCGATCCTCCTTCTGTCCTGTAGAGGAAGGGCACGGCATTTTCCTTTTTCCAACCATCAGGAACCTCCACCAATTGTCGTTACCTTTTAAAAATGATAGACAGTAGCCTCACAATGATGTTGGCCAGCTCCCTCAGCAAGCTTGGATACATCCTACCCAGTCCCATGGGCTTGTGTATGTCCAGCTGGCTAATTCAGAGGACTAATTCACACCTCAATACTCCAGGAATCTAGATCTGGACATACGCATCTCATGCTTTCCAAAGCTAAACCAAAACCTAAAAAATAAACCTATAAACACTTTTAAGTACATAAATAACTTTACCCACATAAGTCACTTCACTGCTACAGAGCAGGACAATGCTGCTACATAAAAACATTCAAATACACAAACTTATTGTGGAATCGGAGCTTTTTTAATGAAAGACTACCTATATAATATTCTATAAAACATTTATAAGGCTCATACTCTGGTGCTTCATCTGGCAAACTTCAAATCTTTTTTCACTATTACTTAGTCAAGTGCAATTGTGATAATTTCACTCTGTTTAAAAGTTTAACAGGATTCTCATGTTAAAAACAAATAAATACATATATGTGTACCAATCTAGATTTTTCAAATTCTAACCTTCACTGTTTATAGTCTGAAGCTTTGAACAAATCAGACTTGCATCTTCATATTTTGGGTCATGGATAGTGTAGTCAAAAGGCATCTTCTTAAATGTCTCCAAATCTGGCCACATATCTCCAGGCTGATGGTAGTATTGATCAGATTCTTCTTTTATGTCTATGATATTATTGAAAAATAAGAATTCCTGTAATCACAATTTTTAAAGCTCTTTATATTGCTATAGATGTTTTTGCTATGTCTATTATTTCTGTACCGTTTTTTCTTTCATCATTCTGAGGAAGCAATATTATTATGCATCAAGAGGTGCACTGAACAAATGTACCTCATACCTCAATGCAATTCTGGCTTTTAAACCTTTGTTATCATTTTAAGACCTCTGTAACCTTACTGGAGCAGTTGGTGGGATGATGATGAAAACAATGTCAAGGGTCTGGTAAGGCTGATCTACCTGCATCCAGGCATTTGGAGTCTTTCCACTGACCACCACTGACCACCACGTTTGTGAACTCAGTTGAGGAAAGATATGTTATTCTCACTGAGGAAAAGAAGCCCTTTTAAAGCTTCAGAAATCGCAGTATTAAATACAGTGCAGAGTTAAAGTCAAATACCCGTTCTAGTGGTAAGACCAGAGGAATCAAAGATAATTCACCCTAGGGTAAGAGAAAAATAGTAAATGGTATTGGTATAATGTGCAGTGAAATCATGCCTTTTTCTGAAACAGGTTAACTGACATAAAAACCCAGATGTACACAAGTCCTTACAAAATACTTTTCTACCTTTGTCAAGAGGATGAAAGATCTGACAAGAGTAAAATGTACAGTAGTGAGGAGTTCAGTTTGGGGGTCAGCTGTAAGCTGCTGTAAAGAGCCATAACTCCATGTCTATGAGTATAGACTAAATTATTATTTACAACAGGTGAGACCCTGTCTTTTGGCACCCAAAGTAACTATGAAACTCAGCTGGAATTAGTCAGATGGTGAAATTATCTTCATGCCCTGACTGTGAGTTACCTCTAAAATCTTGCCTAAAATACAAAGGATTGCTTGCACAAACCTCTCCCCTAGCAGACTGGTCACCTTTTCCACAGCTGTTGCCATAAACCTTGGGGGATAGCTGCCTCTTTCTCAAGCACAGCTCAGTGTGGAGGAAGACTCCTGGGTACTGCCCAAAAAATCCCTCAGAGACAAGAGCTGAGGCACAGTCCCACAGTAAAATGACTGAACAGCTTCCAGCCAGGGTCTGGAACATGAGGACATTGCTCCTCATGGTATAAATCTGCCAGAATATCACTGATTCTTTTTATATACTTTACCACAAAAGTTCATTCCAATTCTAAACTCAAAAACTGGCTGGATATCATTTAATATACATAAATGCTGTTTATTACTTCCCAAGAAAAACAGAGGTATGTGATTTTCATACTGAGAGGAAGACTAAACTCTAAATGATGAGTAAAATAATAAAATATTCTTAAGTATCAGTTGAAGATCACACAAAAATTTTCTTAAAATATTTCAGTAATGTGAATTAATTGCAAAGGTGAACGGCATAGAATATATAGACAACTACTTTTCAATTTAACATAACAATTTTCTACAGTCCCCAAATATCAAGAACTTACTAATGTTGATTTCTTCCTCATCATAAACATCCACTTCTGTCAGTCTAATCAGCATTCGGGACAAAATACTGAGGAACTGCAGATAGGCACCTGTTTTTCCTATCTGTAAATATGTAAATGAGAAAATACAAAAGTAAACTTTCATTTTTCAACATGTTACTTTTCCACATATCTGGAAATTGCAGCTGCAGTGAAACCAAATATTAATATTCAGCACTTGCATATCCCTGTATTTGTATATTCCTTGGCATAAATGAAATGCTTAAATGATCAACAGTTTTGTTCTCTCTATGCAGGAACCTAGTTTGGAAAATGCATTTTATATCACAGGTCTAATTACAGGCCCACAGATGAGAATTTTCTCTCCTGATGTTACAGTTTCTACATAGGCAGTGAACTTTTAAAAATCCATACAAGCTCATAAAATGTTCCAAAAAAACTCCTCAAACTACAAGATAACTAAAGAATTACCTTAACCCTTTCATATTTGCATAATTTACCAGTACACTGACTGCTGCTGAAGTACAGTGACTATCCTGAAGAACAAAATGGCATGCATCTATAGGGGAACTTGTGCAGGCCACTTCCACTCCTGGAGGACGTAGTATATGTAACAATGTGTTGTTCCACCTCTTGTGATGAAAATATACTATTTCCCTTCCACTGTTTTAAAATTACCTTTTAAAAGTTCATTTTAAAATTATCTTAAGATTACAACTTTCTCCTTTCTTTTTTACCCCACCAACACACTAAATCCATTTTCTCTTCATTACGCCAAATAGTATTGCTGCCCTTTTATAGTTTTTTCAGCTGAAAGATAGAAGCCATAGCCAATTATTTACTCAATGGATTGTTCTGTGTCTGCCACATAAAGTTTGCTGATGATAACATCAAGTAAATAATGCCGTACCTAAGCAGACAGCTTTACAAGCCATTACAGTTGAACAGGAAGCAGTACACAATGGGTTTCAATGAGAAAAAAGAGACCGGCAAGCTCATGTCACTCTCACAGGAGAATGCACACGCCGTGATTTCTTGTGTGTGTGTATAGTTCAGCCTCAGAATGGCACTGATGTCCAGCTGACAACTTAAGACTAATGTCACGCCTGTGCAGGGGAGGTTAACATGTAGATCAGTTATGACACATTCTGCTGCAACTGTCTGATTTCACAAAATGGTATCAGATTTTGGACTAAGTCTATATTACTACTAAACTGAAAAGCCAGCTCCACTGCCATTACTGCTAGGACATGTCAGAAGCATAGGGTGTTGAATTACAAAATATAGTGTTTAATTTACTATTTTCCATATATGTCAAGTGACATTTTCATTTTCTCTCAACATTTGAGAAAGGGAGGCTTTGAAGCTGAAGCAAGAGTAGGTAAACATTTGTTTTGATCAAAGTTCAATATCTGTTGTTCTTAATAAATCAAATTGCACTTTAAACAGTTGCTTGCCAAGTGTGGAAAAGGGTATCATTATCCCTGTTGAGAGTCAAATAAGCCTTTCAGGTACACATGGTAGACCATGTGTTAGCACACAACTCTCTGTTATCCAGGAATAACACAGAAAAAAAGTGACTTTGAATAGAGGAAATGATAGCATGGACCATAGTCAGCCCATGGACCAGATGTTTCTAACTCCCAGTCTGGGTTTTTATGTAAAATCCATTGAGACTAATGAGAATCTTTCTACTGACCCTGGAACAAGGTTCTAAACTTGGCTGCAATGGCTATTGGTTGGTGAGCTAAACAAAAACATCTTATCTTCCCACATCCGAGGCAAACTTGATGATACATACTTTGTTCTAGAAGAAAATACTTTCAATGTTTTCTCTCAAGTCTGAGATTACCTTTATATGCCCTTATGAACGTATGCTTTTAAAGTACCTCTGATCATCATTTCATTAAACGCAGGGTGGCCTGATAGATTAACAGTTCCCTGATTTCAAACAAATGAGAGATCTTTTGTCAAAAGTACACAACCTGTTCCCTTGATATCAGGCATCTATGTGAAAACCTAATTCCTAATCTGTTTGAAGTATACACTTAGAATTGTCAACAGAACAACAGGCTGAAAACCTTAATTTTTCTTTTTGGTAACCATTTAAAACTTATTCTATCAAAATAATGTATTTTTCTTTCCCTGGGGGACGAGTCTTCACCAATGGTTTTCAACAATGTATCTGGGAGTGACTAGGCTACTACTACGTGGTACTTAGATGAAAGGTATCAGTTGTCAATTGACTCAAGTATACACAAAGCTGTAGGGTCATGAGTCAAAAATGTTGGAAACCACAGGACTACAAGTGCTAGTCCCTAACCACTAAACAAAAACATAGGTACTTATGATATTCCATGCATCATTATCTGTCACATAAAAAGTGTCCAATACAGTACTGTGAGCTTTATGAACTGTTATATATTAGCAACACTGTATGTAAAATGATGGTGGGAACATGCAGGAATCTCTCCACGTTTTCAGAATTATTTTCTGCCAGGAGAGAGATGAGGCTGAGCACATAGCAACGTTCATATTTGGACTCCATTCACTTGCACATTGGCCTGCATTTGCTGCTGAAGAAATGAACTGGTGAAATAGAGAACACCTTTTCCAGGTCATTTTGAGAATAAGATTTTCAAAAAGAAAATGAGAAAAGAATGACTTCTCATTTACAATCAACATTTACTCCAGAAGAGAACCACTTTGAACAACTGAATTTGTAGCATGCCCAGATAGGTAAATGCACCTTTAAAATTAATTGTATTGTTTTCTATATGTACCATCTCTAGGCGAAATGGAACTGCACAGAGTGTCTGTCTTTGTTTGAAAACACTTAATAGCTGTCAATGAACAGAGCTTCCACATCTCTCCAAAGAGTCCTTGCCCCATCTGTCACTACCCCTCTTTTCGATAGTTTGGGCATCGTAGGTAGCTGCAAAGAGATCCTGCAAGCAGGATATGTACAACTTTGAAGCATAAAGCCCTACATTTGCCCATCCTCCATCTCCCAGCTGCAACAAAATAGAAGATCTGCAAAGAAATTTTAAACTGGATACATGATTGGGCTGTAGCTTTACACATCTTTAGAGAAGCCTAGTACAATGCCGCGTTGATCCTAATTAGCGACTCTGGGCTTAAGCATGATACATTAATAATGGTGACCGCTGGTAAGGAAGTACTCTGAGCAAGATGTTTTTCTCCATACCCTGTCTTTACTCTGCACGCAAAAGCTGCAAACAGATTAAAAGAATGAAGGAACCTGGAACTGGGCTGCATTTTTATGATTCCTGAAACAAAACGTACATGAAAGGTGCTGCTACTACAGACAGCTCTACTTCCCAGAAAGAGGTTCCTCAAATATGTGGCAGTGCCTAGCGCCTTAACAGATAAGGCACTCGGGGGCCAATATTCCCAAATAATGGAAGTATTACTCTAATTTGTTTCTATCTACCTGAATTTGGAAGACAGAAGTCTGATGAATCAGACTTGGAAGAAGAAAATCCCAGAAGAGTAAGAAGTAAAAATCTCAAATCTTGTGAAAACTTATGATAACTAAGGAATTTGGGGCCTGCAAAGGTTCAGTATTTTGGTTTCTATTTTCATCCTTAGTGCAAGGGATGATTTGCCCCATAAAAATCTAAGAATATGTTTACCCTGCAGCTTTTCATTCATGAAGAGTGTAGCTGTAGCTGAGCAAGAGGAAGAAATATGAATTCAAATTCTTCCTGCAGAAAATTCAGGAGGTATGAAGGTCTAGTTTTTGTGTCAAAGACATACACTACCTAAGAGGAGTGGAAAGCTCTCCAAAGATTTTGACCACTGAACTGTCCTTGCCATAGGTATCAAGGATAAGCTGAAAACAAACTGTCTGTCCAAGAATCTGAGAGAGAGAGATTCCAGTCAGAGAAATTACATGTATGCCTCCACACTTATTCATGGAAGTGACATCCAAAAGTGCTGTTGCAACAGGTCTAACAGTAACGAGTTCCCTTTTTTTAACTCGTTCCAGACACTGGACACCGGGATCATTAGAAGTACTTTATTATTCTTACATGTTGCTATGAAGTATCATCTGATTTCAGTCTTCACATTTGGAGAAATATGGCAAAAGAGGAAACAATTCCATAAGGCTTTTCTATTTTAATTTCCAGGTGACATAGTTCTTCTCATACCATGACAGTGGTTTTCAAACTGTGGTCTGCGAACCAATGGTGATTCATAGAAAACATGCTGATGGTCCACAGACAGCTGGCCAAACGGTGCTGGCTCTTCTCCTTGTTTCCACTTGCTACATTCTTCTAAAACACAGCTAACGATAGATAAATTAAATATTTCCCTAATATTTTTCTTACGTAAGCTGAATGGTATATAAGCCCATTGTAATACGATTTTAATAGGAGTAAAGGAAAACCAAATAATATGGGCAGCAGTTTTCTTCCTTAGAAAGTGTCTTAAGACGTGCCTGCTTCATTCCCTGGACGTGGTGCCACAGGACTGAGCCGTGCTCACAAGCAGGTTCCACGCTTAAGGAAAAGTTGTAATATCCAGTTAAAAAACAAAGGTACAAAACCTTGATTTGCAGTTTGGGGAACTTTAAGAAGAATGTTTCTAAGAAAAATATTTTAGTGAATTTAGGCTTCCTTATAGGCATTTTCTTGGGTGCACTAGGGACTAGATTTCTAGCTATAGATACGATACATGTTGTTCACGGTGGTGCATATTTATTCATACTCGCTAACCAATGGCTTAACTTCGATGATGTGAGCTAACTTACAGATAAGTATATAGATCTATTCCATACCTATCCAGTTTTTGCTGCATTTCCTAAAGCCTCTTGTAAAAATAATACATGTATTGCCTTCTAATGTACCTAATTGTCCTTGTAAAAATGCATCAAGTCTTCTAACAAAACATTTTGACCAGTACAGAGGGTAAAATGTCTCTGTGAGGGAAGGCTGAGTGTACTTTATTACTAGTTACCCTGACAGTGAGAATTGTAATTTTGGTTCACTAATGTGCCTAGTTTTCTTCCTGTGTTGATTTCATATTTTTCATTTTAACCAACAAATTGCTTCCTGATTTGCATTTTAGTAAAGTAATTGCTGCCTGATAAAGAAAACAACTACTTCCTAGTTTTTGAAACGACAGTACTCTGGAAGTGTTCTACTTTGGCTGAGATGTTATTTAACACTCAGATAGGTGCCGTCTAATAATTGTTTTTATTTCTGCCTATATCTCTTCATGCATTAAGCGTTAAGTCCATGTAAAATGTTAATATTATCAAAACACATGTGAGTAAAACCTATTTCAGGAAGCAAAATTATTTCTTCCCAAAAAGAGAAGGGTAAGTCTAATTTCTGTATATTTTATTGTAACTATTCCCTAGAAGAAACATTGTATTGTTATACCTTAAACCAATAAACAATCAACATACTTTTACAGCTCTTTGTTTGGTTTACAGGAGTTTTTTGTACTTTGGGAGGTTAAAATAGTAAAGGAAGCAAAGCTGCTGTCTTTTTCCACATACTGAAATGAATATATACCCCTACATTTTGATACTTAGGAAGAAGACATGATACTCCTAATTTGATGCATGTGAATTTGTTCTGTGTGAAACAGGTATATTCTTCAGAAAGAACTGAGGAATATAAAATGAATAAACATGTGAAGAGTGTCCTTTAGGAACTGATCCAACTATATGACCCAATGCAAGACTAGGAAATAACCTGCATTGTGGAGACAGCTGGAGAAGAGATGGAGTTTCAAGTAAAAGAAGTGATATCAAGGCTGAAATTCACTGCTGTACAGAGGGTCAACAGGAGTCCTATTCAGTATTTGAAAAAGAAAGGTTTGATAGTGAAAAGTGGTGAATACCATACCCTGGAATGGAGCTGATGAATAAATAAGCTGCCTGTTTAATTATAATTAGTTAAATGGCAAGTACCAAGTGTGTGAAGCATCAAAACCTTCTCACAGGTGTGTAGTATGCTCTCAGAAGTCTCTGAATGACTCTTCTGAGAATCACAGATTTACATTTGTGACCCATAACCAAATGAATACCAAAGAAATATTTACTTATCAGCTAATCTGGATATTTAGGGTGGCTTTGTGAATAGTATCTTTGTGGGGTTTGATGTGTATGCATATAAAATTCTAACAAAAATTGTCACAGCCTGTGTTTTTCTTTCAGATGGAAATGAACAACATCTCTCTTCCAGAATGTATTCGTTTTTATGCTGCAGCTGAGTATGAAATTCAGTTTCTTGGTCACATACTACCTCAATCTTTGGCAAACACGGACAATTTAGATCAAAGGAATGGACAGTGAAAAACTGCTCATCAGAGTACTTTCTGGAATCCTTTATGAATTACAGTAACATTTGCAGGAAGTCCCAATATGAAAAGCCCATTTATGCTCTTTCTACTCTACTGCACCATAAACTTGGGTGTACAATGGAATACAATCATTTAACGAATAGCAGTATGCAGTTTCCTTTTGCAATGGATGGGCATAGAAGAGTGGATCATGTGGCAAGTTAAATCAGTAACTATCTTTAGATTAATTCTTTGGGTTGATGTTACAACGACTGGAAACATGGGTCTTTGTCTTGGTTTGGATTTATTCTTTTTGACTTCTGAGGTTCACAGGACATATATATGCTCTCAGTAGGCATGGTGTCTCTTCCTGTCTTGTTGCTTCGTACTTCAGCAGAACATGAGAGGCACAATATTACCTTCAGCATGTAACACGTGCATTGAACTAGGAGATACCTTGCTCAGAGATAAGTGCTAAACATTCTTAGAGAATTTAGAAGAGAAGGAATTTCTTAGGAGTATACCCATTTCCATATATCTTTTCAAAGTCATTTAAAAACTCTTGGGTCAGCTACTCATCTTGTAAATAGGGCTCTACTAATGTTGAACTGGCCTTCTTGCATGTATTATTTACAACAGCTTCTATTTCTGTCTGCTGTGTGGAGGAAACAGATAAAATAACTTAATTACAAACTCCCAACTGTCTTCAGAGTGATCATAAGAAAGTGGTTTTGTGAAGATCTTTGATCTTTATTTGAAATGTAAATGCATATTCAACTTTAACAAACTGAAATTATACATGAAATCTATCTCTTGAGCAGACTCTTTTAAAACATTTTAATGGAGAGAGACTGACATAAAATGAACATTGCTGCAGCTTCACTGTCTTTGAACTCAGGCTAAGAGTAAAGAAAGAAAGATTATTTTATTAGAAAGGATTAGGAAATAAAATATAAGCGACTTACTCTCCACCAAAAAAACCCCTTCAAGTATGAATAATAATAACTAATCTATTTTTTCGGAGATTATGATAAAATTAAACAAAATAAATCAATGATAATACCTTGTTCTTATTACACACCTGTGGTGGCCCACTCAGCAGCAGCCTCCTTGGGTGAAAGGTGTCCATTCTGCCCTCATTTCTATTGTTGTAGTCCATATGGATTGGCTTGGGAACTGTCCATTGGCGGTAGTATAGAGACTGCTCCGTGCAAGTCATCATCTTACTCATAAGAGGACGAAAAGAACTTGCCCACATAACAGAATGATAAGGCAAGAGCGAAGATGATTTGGGAAGTCCACTGCTGTCCGTAGAAGTAATAATGTCATAAACCAGTTTGGGCAGGAAAACTATGGGAGGCTGTTTTGAGGCTTTGGTCATGGAGCATTGAGAGGTCTGTAGGATGAAGGAGTTATGAGTAGGTGCAGAGGAAGAAGAAGAGGAGGAGAAAGGTGAGGAAGATGACGAGGTGATGGAAATTTGGGCGCTTTTTATGTTTTGTTTTGTATCCAGCTGTTCAGTTACCGGTGGCAAGTGTTTGCTGATTGTTGTTTGTGCTCCTTTGTCTACTTTCTGCTTCTGCCTTTCATAGTTATTTGTAGTTTCTTCAGCGCTGTTGCTTAGGACTTGGTGGGGGGATTTTACTGTATCCCCTGCTGCTATCAAAGGAGGAGATGACTCACTGCAGAATGCTGTAACTAAAAGAAAATTTGTATTTCAACACAGTGCAACTATCTCTGCTAGAAAAAAATAATCATTTAGCTAGAGTGTACATCAAACATTGCAATCCCACTCCTGTTCTTGCTTTCACCTTTCTCGTACAGGGAGTCATAATGGGACTAGTTTGGAGTATTCATCTCAATGCAGAAAGTGGCTTTTAAAGTACTGAAGTGCATAGGAAAGATGTCAGGGATTGTCCTGTCTTCTACTTCCCTCATCGATTCCTCGCTTAAGGTGTTCAGCAGATACTTTCATCACTCAAGACAAATACAAAATTACTGAAACCATTGTTTAAAAGAGTGTAAGAAAATAAGTATTCACAGGCTATTACCCCATCAGACTACAGAAATGTCTACACAGACTGACATCTAGAAACAGTCCTCAGCTCTAAGTCAGATCTGATCTGACACTTGTGTCTGCGTCACTGCAGCACTTAGTCTGATCTAATAAAACCTGGCTCTCAAGTCTCTGGTGCTACATAATGCATTAATGCATTCATACAGCTTTTGGTCAGCTCAGAGCACATATTGGACTCACGAATGCTGGCCTTGAATAAGTCATGTAGATATACCCCACAGCTAATTGCTGATTTCCTGGAAGTGGTATATTTTTACCTTACATATTCTAACTACTAAGATTTCTTGAAAGTTTAAGGCCTCATTTTAAGTGGTTCTGAGCATCTTTAATGCTTAGTGAATTCCAAAGAGGAGATGCAAATACTTCACAGTCTTCAAAGTACACTGAGAACTGGTTGAGGAATTTGTCTCCATATGGTAATAGGAATGTCTGTCTGAAGCTGAACGTAGATAAAAACAGCTTTCCTCCCATGGTGAATATAACAGTCTTGGTTCTCAAAAAAACCCCACATTTTGAACTAATAAAAGTCCATAGCTTCTCTTGGTCTCAGGAAATAATAAGATATTCTCTAGCTGCATATTAATCTAAACTACCCAGTAAAGGACATTAGCATAAATACAAAAATATCGCCGCCAGTATGAATGGTTTCAAGTAAAACCACTGTGACATCCCTCAAAATACCAGTATCCAAGAGCACAGAAAAATAAAGGAAAAAAGATTTCTTTAACTACAGGCAAATTGAGGCCACAGTGCCACAGGCAGGCCACAAGGACACTGTAGTACTGATGAGCAGTCCAACTTTAAAGGAAAAAAATTTTGAAAATTAAAGTGTTGATGAAGCTTATCCAAATGTTTTCAAGCTTTTTTTCCTTTTATAACCACCACTGTGCCTGTAGAAAAGAAATCATGGGCCAAATATGCATGTCACCATGTTGCAAACTACAATTAGATCAAAAAGAATTTACTGTTAATGACAAAAAACAACATGTTTTAAAAAGTTGCATGAGATTGCGACTCCTAGGAAGTCATGGTACAATTTATATTCCCCACTTTTATTCAGCTCTCCTCTTAATATTATCTGCATAAAAAGCAAGCGAAGAAATTTATCTGACAAAAGAGCTGTAGTAGTTCTCAACATTGCCTCACGCTTTCTACATCACTTTGCAGATTAAAAAGGAACCGAAGATTTAAAATATTGTCCACCTCCAAAAGAGCTTTCAAACAGTGCAAAATTAATGAGTGAACATTCCAGAGCAAAAACAAAAAGAAGGAACCGAGATTTAAAATATTGTCCACCTCCAAAAGAGCTTTCAAACAGTGCAAAATTAATGAGTGAACATTCCAGAGCAAAAACAAAAAGGTAAAAATACCAATGAGACCAAGCATGCTTTTTCTCCTACAGATTTTCAAAAGATTTTTTAAAAATGTGAAGCATGTTTTCTTTTTAATAAATTGTCATAGCTTCAGTGAACGTTCTCAACCATCACAGTACTGACTGAGGATTCATACCTCAGTGGCACACATTAAAGAAGTGCCTGGTTTAGGCACCCCACCCTGTGATTACTTTTCAAGCAAGAAAAGATCTTATTTCTTATATTTCAGAAGTCTGATGCTTTTTTTTTAGAAGTTATCTTTAGTGATCCCATTAAAATAGGCCTTACCAAAACCTTAGCGATTTATGCCTTTTATTATTTCTCTAATAAGCTGAATAAAAGGTCTCTTTTATGTCCTAAATGTAACTTAATAGAGATGATCTTAAGGTCTTACTGGAAGCTTTTGAAGAGAGAGATGAAGATGCAGAGTAGTCTGATGCTTTTTTTTTAGAAGTTATCTTTAGTGATCCCATTAAAATAGGCCTTACCAAAACCTTAGCGATTTATGCCTTTTATTATTTCTCTAATAAGCTGAATAAAAGGTCTCTTTTATGTCCTAAATGTAACTTAATAGAGATGATCTTAAGGTCTTACTGGAAGCTTTTGAAGAGAGAGATGAAGATGCAGAGTCATGGGAACGAGATCTTTCTCTTTTCATAGGACTTCTCTTTTCTGAAGTAGAACCTGTTTCACGAACGGTAGTAGGGGAAAATAAAAACAAAATATAATCTAAGTAAGCCTGTAAGAAGGCACAGCTACATTGTCAAAGTAGGGAAAAGCACACAAGAGTTTGTGTGGGTTTTGTCCTCATTCTAACACTGTTTTCAGTGTGGAGAGTATCTGTTCCTACCACGCAATATTGGATCAGCCTATGGTCTAATCTAACTATGCTGAACTGCAACAGCTTCACAAAATCAATGCTGCAGACAGGAGCTGGTAATTTCTAGGCATGTCCCAACCATGTTTTCTCTTTCTACTCATGTCTTACTTTCCTCACTAATCCAGTGTCAGGGAAACCAACAGGCAACAAGCTCTATTTTGTCAGTATGTTATGAAATTACCTCCTACCCCACACATTACAGCTTTATGGCCAGATTATATCTCAGCTGTTGATGAAAACCCATATTTGGACGGCCACCAAGGATATTCACTTGAGGTTCCTAGTTTAGGCTTCTAAGTTAAGATGCTTGTTTCTGTACAGTTTTACCATGATAACCAGAGCATAAGCACTGCCAGCAGAAAACTTAGACTGTAAGTCTATAACAGGTGTTCTGAATCAGACTCTGGAGGAGCATAACATACTTCATGGACTAGGAAAGCAGCCTTACAACTTAGATGCCGAACAACTTAGGTGCCCATTTGACTCAGATCACATACAATCTCAGTGTACTTCAAGTAAAGGGACAGAAGGACTCATCACATCTAAAGTAGGCCTCTATTGTAGACAGTATGAGTATGACCTCAGGTATTTCATTCCTCTATGAAAAGTACATATGTGATTAAAGTAAATATTTTTGTTCTGCTTGTTCTGCTATCCTTATTATCAATGAGTAAGAACTTAATAGGTGAACAGTAACCAGCTCTCTTCCTCCTCATAGTATAGAAAAGGAAATGAAGGCAAGCAGTTTGAGATTTAAATAACCTATGGGGATAAAAATCCCTTGTTTTCCACAGTTGCAAGGCATAACAGACAGTAAAGAAAAATGTAAAGAACTTAATGATAACTGATAATGCCCATCAGCTATCACTCAAAAAAACCCCAACAGTTCCTGGGTAAATTATTTTTGTTTGTTTACACATTTGTATGTTCTTAATTGCTCTCTTAAGAAATTATAAACTCCCCAACTCTACACTGTCAATTTGAATTCATGGACATTTTCAAGGACTACTCAGAAGTTACTATGTTCAGATATATTGTCTAGCCATACTATTTAATACCTTACAAACTAGAGACTACTCAGCTGTACTATATACAGTTTCCTTGGGAGGAATCTTCATCATTGTCAGTATGTAAGCATAGGTTCAGTAGCATCAGTCAGGGACAGTTTAGGTGGAGTTGCCCCTGCTGTGAGGGAGGGGATCAGGTCACTGCTTCCCAGACAGCAAAGCACACACTTCTGTGCTGTGGGGAGGGCAACACAGCACAGCACTCCAAACAGTGAGCGTCACTGGATGTACCCACTCGAGCTCCACTTTGCAGCTGCCAGAACATACAGGGCAAAGGAGTAGGGAGGGAGCGGAGAGAAGGGAGCCAAAAAACAGAGAGAGAGAACAGGTGCAGCAGCAAGACTGCAAGAGATTAAAATGCTGCTGCAGCAGCAGCAGTCCTTGGGCAGGGAGGGTGACAAAACACAGATTCAATGAGATGAAGCAAAACCGAGGAGCAGAGCTGACTCAGTAAGGCTAACTCCAGAAACCCTCACCGAGTAGGTATCCATACAATCATGCTTTTTCCAATACAACTCAAATCATTTTACAGCTTCTTTTATTATCACTACTAATAATACCTTCCGTCGCTATTTCTTCATCTTCATTATCAGTGCTGCTTAGTTTCTCTGGGTCACTTTCTAACACATCATTCACAACTGCTTTCTCTGTGTGAATTTCTGAGCTCACAAAGTATGCTGCCAAACCAAGTTCTTGCTCCAAGGTTGTCCTTACCAAAGAAGATGAATTTATTAAACGTAGGTCACAGTATCTCAGTGACCTGGAGAGAAACAAGAGGGGGTAGTATGAAAACTCACTGTAATCTACTCCCTTATTTCTTTTGCAAACACAGCCAAAGGGGAATTTTTTCATGATCTGCTTAAACTACGGATGAGATAGAACACAGTATATCTTTTGTGCTTAATAAGTTTACCACTGTGATGCATACACTTTTCTTTTTCTTAACCCAGTTATGCAGCTTAATCTAGTGCACTGAACATTAGCATCAGCATAAGAAAAAGAATAATCATTTGGGTTCTAAGCCTAACACACAGAATGGGATTCAGCTGAACATACAAAAGCATTTAGTACCACCTTAACAGCCCCAGGGCATCCTGTCTGGCTTCCAGCTGCCACTCCAGAAGGCACTGATCTCTCCACACATCCTGTAGCCAGCATCATGCAGATGTCTCAGCTACCCTAAGGTATCTAATGTAGCTATACTTTTTTTTTTACATACCCTTATCCTCTCCCCTAAACTGGGACAATTCTCATAATATTTTTGAGCTATTTATATCTTGCTATAAACAGGAGGTTATTATTAATAATATGGGGTTTGTATTTATGATATAAAAACTGCCAAAAAATGGAAAAGAAACACCTTGACACTGAAATCTGTTTTATTCTCCCACAAGTAATTACACAGTTAATCTTTAGCCATTTGGTAAGCAATGGATAAAAAACTGTCACTGAGAAAATACTGGCTCTTCTTACCGTGGCAAAGACTCCCCTTGTGGATCCATACCACTAAATATCAATATACAAGGCAAACCTTCCAATTCCAAATAGGTCTGTGGCCTCCAATCTACATCTTCAATTTTCTGCCAGACCTGTATAAGGTAAGAAACACTGTTGGACATATCTATATGGCACAAATAAAAATACAGAAATATATACTTTTATCATCCATTATATGAAACAATTTGTACAGTAGATAGATGTTCCACCAAGGGAAGCCACAGAGCAGAGCCAATTTCAACATAGGTAGATTGCACAATTCCTAGAGCTTTACAGGTAGCAATCTGCCTGCTGTAAGTCTGAGGAGATTGGGACAGTATGTTCCAGTCTGAAAAGCCTCCCAGTTTCCCAGCTGCATAGCACTGAGGCCAGGGCATATATGGGTAGAGTGGGTACAGTACAATAGACAGTAAAGCTGAGTAAGAGCTTTTGGGGAGAGAAAAGTACAGAAGCCTGCTTCTTGTGGCAGATAATGTATGGATGTCTGAGTCCAAGGACAAAAATGAGCTAGGAATGAGACTTTTTCACCTTAGAGGAATAGGGGAAAGCTGGAAGTGTTCAACACACACATACCACTGTCCTCACTTGCTACCCTCCGAAGTCTGCTCTCGCCCAAAGCTATCAGTTTTCCTGATAACTTCATGAGAAGTATGATAACTAGATCTATTGTGTGACCGTTTAGCATCAGGCTGTACTGCTCTACTTACACCAGTCAGTCCTTTTTGCTGTGAGACGGATCTACAGATAAGGAATACACAGTAGGACCAACAGTAGGACAACTCAGCCTCTGACATTCATACATGTACCACTATTATGCATGTCAGAGAACATAACCAGGATGTGATTCAGAACTAATACTGATTTCTCAGAATAAGTTATGCCTAATCTGTAGCAGAATGAGATCAGCATTAGGCCCTGGATCTCAAATGACTTCACCTAACATGTATTGAATCAGACACAGTACAGAGTGTACCATATATATATTACACCATCCTAGAATGTAAACACACTTTTGCTTTGGTGATCAGATGATGGTAATATTATGAAAAGCAAGGCAGTATCAGAGGCTTTTGTTAAACAGATGACACAAGACTCTGGACCTAAAGGATATAAATTAATCCATAAACCAACACATGATCCAGAAAACATAAAGTTCTGAGCTGTGAATACTGGGGTGTTCTAGGACCCATAACTAGCATCACTGATTTGGTGCCTTCATGCCACCTGCTAGTGACAAGAATAATATAACTCTGAACTGGTCACTGATTAAAATCTTTTTGCACTATGATGATTTTGTGAGAAAATTCTGCTAAAACTGTGACAATTTTATTTGGCTTTTTTCCTTATTGCTTATGGTCCCTGTAGATAAAAACAGTTCAACTGTTTGGGAGGGTTGCTGCTGGAAGTCAAGTTCTACCCATATTAGTTAATACTCCACTGAGTATTACCAGAGGTAGGACAGTATAGGAGTCACAGACAGTATGCCTAAAAGATGAAAGTCATGCTCCTTATGGTAGTTCTTATTTTTACTAGTAAGACCCGCACTTCAGCTCACGACCATAACTCTCACCGGTAAAGTCTCCCCACCTACCCATCTAATGAAGCTTCCCAGTATATGTCATTCTGCAAGTTACCTTTAGTTGCTCCACAAAGTGCTTCCCTATTGTGATTCCAGAATTAGGATTTCCCAAGATTATTTCAAAGTTATCTTCAAGGGCTAGTCTTTCCCTTACATTATACAGACGTTCATATGCCACTGCAGCCAGCGGAGTACATGGAATTCTCAACACTACCATGAGGCCATGACCACTAGGACATTGTCTTGAAGAGTTTATTAGGTTTTGGGTGATTTCCAGAGTTTCAACTGAGGTGTAATTCTTCATCTGAGAAAGACCACACACTGCCATCATAGCTGCAGAGTAGTGCTGTATGAGGACAAAAGTCCTTATCACTGCACTGTGTAATCTGGGGAACCTGAAATAAATGGTGAATTAAATAGTGAAGTACTAAAGGCTAAAGTGAAAAAGCTAATTTTTACAAAATATAGTAAACTCAGGATTTTCTCCTGTAAAGAATCCTTCACATCTGTTATACCATAGAATCTCACCAAATTGCAGTTGGATAGCCTTTGCAAGGCATCATTTCACAATCAGAACTGATGTTGTCTCTCCATTTCTTAGTAAAGATTTACTAAGCAAGTAGTCAAGTAAAGTTGCATCACTTTAAGTTACCAAGACTTTACTGCTGTTACAAAATTTATCACAGAGTATTTGCTAAGGCACTCAGTAATATCATCAATCAAAATTAAATTCTCTTATCAATAAGAATAGTATTCTTCATGATGTGTTATTCTTAAGGGGCAGGGGGTGGGATGGTGTTTCTCTTGTTTTCTTACTGAAGCCCTGAACCAACTTACTCTTGTTTCCAAGAGGACTGAATACGTAGGCAGCATCCAATGAGCACTCCAAGTTCCCAAGCCCAGGTACACTCTGTCTCAATCCCCAATCTATGGAAGGGAGAGACGTGGATATGCAATAGCTTCCTGTGCTCTGGTTTTCACAGAAATGAAATCCAGTTGCACAGTAAAAAGAGGAACTATGGCTTGCTCAGAGAAGTGCCTGATATGTGTGATCAGAGCTCCACAGCACCCTGTAGCAAGCCCGAGCAGTTAAGTGTGGATGTGCTCAGTCTCCCAATTAGCAAAACAAATTCACAAGATTTTACTTGTCCTGTCTCATTCTTCTTACGTATCCCAAAAAGTTCATTCACAGCTGCACGTACGCGCATAATATGTCACTACTCTTTTGCGGTGATTCTAGACTTGCTCCACAGGGACCAAGGAAAACTGATAATGTATTTTCAAGCTCTGATGATGCTCTGAAGTTTTTATCACTGATTTAAGTATACAAAACACAGTGATAAGTCTACTTCTCTTTGTGGTCCAAGTGCAGTATACACAAATTCTATACATCAAAAGGAGCCAGGGTCAGCAAGTGATAACATTGGACAAAAATAATAACGCATTTGAAATTACATGATGATGCAATGTTAGATTATTATAATATAGAAGTAGCTACTAGTCGCAACAAGAACACACTCTAAATTGGGCTAAACAGTGTGCATGTCCATAGTAAGAGACAGCCTAGACTGATGAGATTACAGGCCAAATATATACAAAAAAGAGGGAAGGAGAAAATAAGGAGTGAAATGCCCTTGCATACACAGCTGATTTGTGGGACAGCAAAGAAAAAAAAAAAAGAACCAGGCTTCTAGCTAGTAACTCAAGTCACTAGAATGCACCTCCTAAATTTCCTGTGTTAAACAAAGGAGGGTACCATACCTCTTTCCCAAAGCCATGACCATTGCTTCAAAAGAGCTGTCGTACCGAAGCAGTGGAATACTATGTCCAGAGAGGGTGGACTCAATGAATTCAGACAGTCCAAAGTATTTCTTGTTTTCATGGTATAAATCTACACCCTAAAGCAAATGAAGCAATAAAAATATAAAGGTAAAGTCTATCAATTATTAATTTACAGTTGATTAACCATTGGTATGTGATATATTTGCAATCACATTCTCTAACAAGCATACGTCTACTCAGATGTATTAAAACAAGGAGAGAAAGAAACAATTAATTTTTTTGAGAGAACAGAAGTTTGACCCAATTTTTCCTTGTTTCTTTCTCTCTCTCTTTCTCTCTCCCCGCATATACATATACACAGACAGAACAGATATGTATGGAATAAATATGCACATATATGAAGAAAATCCATGTATGTACACATATTTACGCAGTAATGCACTAGAGACAGATTTTCAGATGGTTTCCATTTATGTAGCTCAAAGATTTTTAGCAGAGCTACTACAGTTTATAGAAGATATAAAAGGAATAAAGAAAAAAAACAAGAAATGACAAGATAAGCAAAGGGAAAAAGAACCTCCACAGCTAACAAGCATACGTCTACTCAGATGTATTAAAACAAGGAGAGAAAGAAACAGAATTAATTTTTTTGAGAGAACAGAAGTTTGACCCAATTTTTCCTTGTTTCTTTCTCTCTCTCTTTCTCTCTCCCTGCATATACATATACACAGACAGAACAGATATGTATGGAATAAATATGCACATATATGAAGAAAATCCATGTATGTACACATATTTACGCAGTAATGCACTAGAGACAGATTTTCAGATGGTTTCCATTTATGTAGCTCAAAGATTTTTATCAGAGCTACTACAGTTTATAGAAGATATAAAAGGAATAAAGAAAAAAAACAAGAAATGACAAGATAAGCAAAGGGAAAAAGAACTTCCACAGACTGAACAAGAAAAAGATGCCATGCAAACTTCATTCTTGTTTACAAAATTCATGGGGTCTCCACAGTTTCACCAAGTATGTAAATGTAAAATAACTTATGAAAAGCTCACAAAAGCACCTCAAAGCATCCATCTTACATTGCTGTATGAAGAAGGCCAGTGGATCTCATTGTAAGGGCTGATATGAGTATGCTGTGTCTGCAGCGCATAGGGGAAGGAAGTCACATGGAGGGTCACAATATTTGGCGCCTCTTTTACCTCCCTGCAGTTCAACAGTCTATCAACAAGTCCTGTAGACAGTTCTGTTTGAGGATAAAGGCTATGCATAGCACTGCAAAAAAGAAACCCAAAACTCTCCAAAGTGATCAGCACAAGGGAACATTTATATCAGTGGAATAGCTTTAACCTGGACGTGAAATTGAAGTTAAACACGTACAAGGAACTTAGGACTCTATTCTTTGCCCTGCTTTTGTTGCACAGAAGGATGGGAAAAGAAATGCAAATTATTTCACTGCAGCTGAAAATTTCTGTAAGTCTGATAAGCTCCCTAGGTAACAAACTACCAGTCCCTTACAGCTATCAGAATATGAGAGATAAAGGATGAAAGGAAGCTGATGTTTTGGCAGTTACCAATAGACACATAGTCCTGTAGTAACTTTGGCTAGATTGTTAGTGCTGCCCTTAAGAAAATATAATTCTTACCTACAAAAATCAAGATAGAAAATGACAGACAGTAAGTCAGTATGACAGAAAAACAGAGGGAAACTACCTGTGATAGAGCTATTACGAAAGGGAAGAATAGTTATTGTTAGGGCAAATGCCAGCATCATGGAACACCTACAGTCAATTCCTTGCTCCGGTGTAAAACTTCAGGTCCAAATTCATGCTATTTAATTTTTGACATTTACCTGCAGTGACTAAGTTACAAGCCTAGTCACTGCAAGCTCCTTCTGTTACCAGCAGAGAGAGATAAGTAACTCCAGAAATTAACTATGTCTACCCGTGATCTAAGTCAGCCCTCAGAGATGCCCGTGTCTCTGTTGTGACTATGTAGGCAATTACACTCCTCTTTTAGGCACCTTATTTAACTGACTTCAGTTAGGTGGCATGAATCCTGCTGTGCAGAATGGTCACTTAAATATTTGTCACTTACATATCCTTATTAGACAAGAGGAAAAAATATCAGAGTTAAGCAGCAATACAGGTACTTCCCTACCACTCAAGGATGCTGAGTGATGAATAAATGCCTTAAAGGCTGTGACAGCTGTAATAGGTCATGTAAGTTCCTAAGACATAGAGGAGTTGAACAGGAAACCCTCACATGCAAAAATAAAGTTTTGGTGAAAATCATCATTCTTAACCAGTGTGAAAGACAAGACATTGCTATTTCATTCACAAGCAAGATTCCACAGTTTTTGGTTTCAGAAACACTACCATGCTCCCAAAGTTGGAATATGTTGGTGTTTCTGGAACTCAGTATGTTCTCCAAGCTCCCCAGTGCCTCAGGAGCCAGAAAGCAAAAGCAGCCCAACTTCTCAGCAGGCAGATTGTTGAGAAGCCAAGGAAACAGGGCTCTGTGAGGGAAGCAATGAGTTATGCAAGTGAGCTGATGGGGAACTTGGTAAACAGATAGGAACCTCCCTGCTTCCCTGAGAAGTCTACCTGACATTACTATGTATCCACAGAAGCTTTCAGTTCTTACAAATCAGTGATTCTGGACAGAAAAAACATTGTACTGGAAAATTTCCAATCAGTTAAAAAAATAAGCAGCAGTGTTGGCTCACTAGTTGTCTACTCACTGTGGAGGGTTTTTGCATGTTTTACAGCCCAGAGGACACTGACAGAGGATAATGAGCTCTGTGTACTTTCACAGGAAGCTTTCCTTTGAATAAATGACAACCAGCCGAAAAAACAATAGCTGTGGCTGAAAGAAGATAAGACTGGTGAGCAAGGAAAGCTGAAATGTTCCACTGAGGCATAATATAATAAGCAGGATAAGAATAAGTCATGAAGGACCTTAAAAGATAACATGTTTATTCAACGCATGGGAAGAGAGAGTTAGCCGAAAGATGCAAACAAAGATGAAGGAAGGGATAAATCAGAAAGCTGATCTTGAGAGCTAAGGCAAACAATAATTTCTCTAAAAACAAGTTACAGTTTTCTTACCTCATTAGATCCCAGTGTGCGTGATCATGGATTAGGACAAACAGTGTATGTGGATTCTGCATAGAGTTTTGTAAAAAGACTTTGAATTTAATGTGGGCTTCTGCATCTAGTTTCATAACATACTGTTCCACCCTCTGCTTTGTAAGATGTTCCTTCTCTAATCCAAGTTCTAATAAAATACCTAAAGAAATAGAACAAATGTCAGTATTTCCAGATACAAATGCATTTAACAGTTTCCTGTAAATCTAAAATAAAGCTAACTAATAAGCACCTGAGTGCCAGAGATGAAACAATGTCTGCTGATAAGTCACTTCAGAGGGTGGAACACAAATCAAGAAATCAATTTTCTCGAAGGAACCCAAATCAAGATTTTGAGTGCTGGAGTCAGCAATTGAGCAAATATGGGACAGCAATTTCTGAGCCACTGCTAGCTGGAATGGACGAATCTGATGTCGTTCAATCTCATAACCTGGAAAAAGGCAAAATTCTGTTTAGATAATGCCCGAAGTCTAATCTAACGCAAAATGTTAGAGTCTGGCAAAGAATGATTGATCTACTCTTTAAGGTACTTTGCTTAGGAACAGGAGTTCCAGTTTATGAAAATCTATATGGAATATGCAAAGACATCTTTCTGCATTTGGGCATTTTGGTTCTATAAGTCTCTTAAACGTCTGAGAGCTGAAACTGAACTTGTGCAATAGTGTTCTGCTACCATAGAAGTAAGACTTAGAGCTTCAGACTACAATACCCAGTGGAATGAAGCCGAGCATCCATCAGTGTAAATGTGAATATCCCAAGACATGAGTTGCTATTTGCCTCAGGACCTTTGCCTTCAAGAGCCTAGGACTCTGCCCAGATGGATCTAACCTCACACCCAGAGACCTGGTCTCAAGTATCCTACTCTGTTACCTCTTTACAAAATCCTCCTTACTTACTTGTACACGCAGCTGCTCCAGTTCCATTCAGTGCTGTTGGTTTATTCACTGAAGCAGAAAGTGATGAAGATATGTGCCCTTGGTTTTCCTGATAAAATTTCTCCAGCAAAAGATCAATGTCACCCTCTATCAAATTGAAGGGATAGTGGAATAAACATCCATGTTAATAAGAGCTGCATTTCATACTGATTTTGTTTTGTAGATCTCAAAGAGCTTTATAGTGCAAGCTAGTTATCCTGCCCTTGGTTTATTGGCTGTTTTATACAGGAACCCTCTTGTTATTTTCTATTGCATCTGTTTTTACAGCATATCACTAATAAAATGCAAACCAGGCCAGGGAATGACAGACCAACTCTGCAGATCACTGGCTAGGACATTTATGGAGGATAGTAGAAAACTAGCCTCAAGGCCTTGATGCGTATCAGCAACAACAAAGACATGAAACTGGCTTAGTTTATGTTCAGACTATGGAGCTATACTGTTCACTAATAAGGATTACAAGAAGCTTTGGAAAATCTGATAAATATTTTTAAATCTTTAACATTTTTGAGAGACAGAAAGAAAAATAATTCCTTATAAAGCTGAAAGAGAAATATGAGTTTTGTAGCTACATGCAATGCTGAAGCAAGCAAGGTGTGTTTTATTGAACTATGTGTATCTGCAAATAGATCCTATTCTATTCAGCAGGGGCCCTGCTTACAGATGAAAGCTATGCAGCAAATACAGTATGCCTGTCCTGAGTATTTAGTATTTTCTCAGCAGTTGAAAAGATGTTTGAACATGTCTGCACTGAGCTCAGAAAGGCAGGGTCTGCCCCGTTAAGTGCAATCCAGTGGATACAGATGGCAACTATTTTTAGGATGCTCATTCACTTGTTCTGCTCAAACAACAGCAATAGCAAAAGTGATTTTAAGAACCATACTTGGAAGATACTAAGAGCAGAAACACTAACATAACTACATGATGGTTCAAGGAAAATGAGTTTCTCTTAAGTGACCACTCAAAATACCATGACACATCCAGAAGGGTTCTTGTGATCTAAGTACAGATTTACCGATGTGACGTGAATGGCAAAGGGGACTGTGACATCCCATTAACATTGACAAATATGCTGCATTTGCTCTAGTTGTGTGATATGGTTTAACTTTCCATGGGGCTGGATGTATCCCCAGATAATCCTGCCTGTAGTAATCCTCAGTATACTCAGTTAAAAAAAGATCCAGTAACCCTGGCTCTCTGCAATTTTCCTCTCTTTCCCATGCATCATGATCAAGTTTACAGTATGGTAAGTTGAAAGGACAAATCCTTCCTTTGATAAAATAACTCTGTTCTATCATGGTCTAAACGAATTCTGTGCTTAGGGCAAAAGAATTTATACATTCATATGGATATAGACTTGCATAGTATATATGGATGGATTTGCATAGCTAAGAATAATATTATATATATTATATATATAATATATAAGAATAATATGCTCAGCTATTTGCTGGCATATTTTTATGAAACTGAGGGATTTTAGAAACTGACACTTTTAGGAGGAATTTCAATTGAAATGTACTTTCACAACTTCGTTCTGCATTTTTTATATATTTCTCATAATGTCTTGCTTCTGGAAAGGTAATGAGCACAGCTATTTTCTCTCTGACTTAAAAGTTTCAGGGACTTGGAAACATGCCTCCTTACAACGTGTTAGGTACCTGGGCAGAGTGTGCTAAAGAAGGACCCCAGAGTTTCCACTTTCCCTGTGACCAGCTGATAGTTCACTTCTTTTTGGTAGTCCAAAGGAGTGAGCATGCTCTCAGACAGAACTCTTGCCTGATACTTTCCTAAAAGACAAAAAAGTAATTTTGAAAGCACTTCAAACTCAAGTAAAAATGTTCTAAGTCGTAATAAAAATACTACCCAGTTAAATGAATACCACACACACAAAAATGGCAGAGATGAGTCTTTTCTCTCTCCTATAGATGTATGCACCAGACACCTGTAAGATAGATTCATGTTTTATAATTCTTTGTGTTTCTTTCCCTTTTTAGGAAAGATTTGTTGATGCAGTATATAAAAAGAGCATATAAATAGTCAAAGGAATTGTCAATTATCTTACACTCATAATGAATCTTTGAATGGCCATTCAAATAATTTGTTTAATTATCAGCATAGAATCGTAGAATAGTTTGGGTTGGAAGGGACCTTTAAAGGTCATCTAGTCCAACCCCCCTGCCGTGGGCAGGGACATCTGCAACTACATCAGGTTGCTCAGAGCCCCCTCCAACCTGACCTTGAATGTTTCCAGGAATGGGGCATCCACCACCTCTCGGGGCAACCTGTGCCAGTGCTTCACCACCCGCAGTGTAAAAAATTTCTTCTTTATATCTAGTCTCAATCTACCTCCCTTTAGTTTAAAGCCATTCCACCTTGTCCTGTCGCAACAGGCCCTGCTAAGAAGTTTGTTCCCATCTTTTTTATAAGCCCCCTTGAAGTACTGAAAGGCTGCAATAAGGTCTCCCCGAAGCCTTCTCCTCTCCAGGCTGAACAACCCCAACTCTCTCAGCCTTTCTTCATAGCAGAGGTGTTCCATCCCCCTGATCACTTTCATGACCCTCCTCTGGACCTGCTCCAACAGGTCCGTGTCTTTCTTATGCTGAGAGTGCAATCCAGTGGATACAGATGGCAACTATTTTTAGGATGCTCATTCACTTGTTCTGCTCAAACAACAGCAATAGCAAAAGTGATTTTAAGAACCATACTTGGAAGATACTAAGAGCAGAAACACTAACATAACTACATGATGGTTCAAGGAAAATGAGTTTCTCTTAAGTGACCACTCAAAATACCATGACACATCCAGAAGGGTTCTTGTGATCTAAGTACAGATTTACCGATGTGACGTGAATGGCAAAGGGGACTGTGACATCCCATTAACATTGACAAATATGCTGCATTTGCTCTAGTTGTGTGATATGGTTTAACTTTCCATGGGGCTGGATGTATCCCCAGATAATCCTGCCTGTAGTAATCCTCAGTATACTCAGTTAAAAAAAGATCCAGTAACCCTGGCTCTCTGCAATTTTCCTCTCTTTCCCATGCATCATGATCAAGTTTACAGTATGGTAAGTTGAAAGGACAAATCCTTCCTTTGATAAAATAACTCTGTTCTATCATGGTCTAAACGAATTCTGTGCTTAGGGCAAAAGAATTTATACATTCATATGGATATAGACTTGCATAGTATATATGGATGGATTTGCATAGCTAAGAATAATATTATATATATTATATATATAATATATAAGAATAATATGCTCAGCTATTTGCTGGCATATTTTTATGAAACTGAGGGATTTTAGAAACTGACACTTTTAGGAGGAATTTCAATTGAAAAATACTTTCACAACTTCGTTCTGCATTTTTTATATATTTCTCATAATGTCTTGCTTCTGGAAAGGTAATGAGCACAGCTATTTTCTCTCTGACTTAAAAGTTTCAGGGACTTGGAAACATGCCTCCTTACAACGTGTTAGGTACCTGGGCAGAGTGTGCTAAAGAAGGACCCCAGAGTTTCCACTTTCCCTGTGACCAGCTGATAGTTCACTTCTTTTTGGTAGTCCAAAGGAGTGAGCATGCTCTCAGACAGAACTCTTGCCTGATACTTTCCTAAAAGACAAAAAAGTAATTTTGAAAGCACTTCAAACTCAAGTAAAAATGTTCTAAGTCGTAATAAAAATACTACCCAGTTAAATGAATACCACACACACAAAAATGGCAGAGATGAGTCTTTTCTCTCTCCTATAGATGTATGCACCAGACACCTGTAAGATAGATTCATGTTTTATAATTCTTTGTGTTTCTTTCCCTTTTTAGGAAAGATTTGTTGATGCAGTATATAAAAAGAGCATATAAATAGTCAAAGGAATTGTCAATTATCTTACACTCATAATGAATCTTTGAATGGCCATTCAAATAATTTGTTTAATTATCAGCATAGAATCGTAGAATAGTTTGGGTTGGAAGGGACCTTTAAAGGTCATCTAGTCCAACCCCCCTGCCGTGGGCAGGGACATCTGCAACTACATCAGGTTGCTCAGAGCCCCCTCCAACCTGACCTTGAATGTTTCCAGGAATGGGGCATCCACCACCTCTCGGGGCAACCTGTGCCAGTGCTTCACCACCCGCAGTGTAAAAAATTTCTTCTTTATATCTAGTCTCAATCTACCTCCCTTTAGTTTAAAGCCATTCCACCTTGTCCTGTCGCAACAGGCCCTGCTAAGAAGTTTGTTCCCATCTTTTTTATAAGCCCCCTTGAAGTACTGAAAGGCTGCAATAAGGTCTCCCCGAAGCCTTCTCCTCTCCAGGCTGAACAACCCCAACTCTCTCAGCCTTTCTTCATAGCAGAGGTGTTCCATCCCCCTGATCACTTTCATGACCCTCCTCTGGACCTGCTCCAACAGGTCCGTGTCTTTCTTATGCTGAGGGCTCCAGAGCTGGACGCAGGACTCCAGGCGGGGTCTCACCAGAGCAGAGTAGAGGGGCAGAATCACCTCCCTCGACCTGCTGGCCACGCTTCTTTGGATGCAGCCCAGGATACGATTGGCCTTCTGGGCTGCGAGCGCACATTGCTGGCTCGTGTCCAGCTTTTTATCCACCAGTACCCCCAAGTCCTTCTCGGCAGGGCTGCTCTCAATCCCTTCAACCCCCAGCCTGTATCGATACTGGGGGTATCCAGGCTGTCGAAGGGAATGACATTGAAAGACCATCTTTTAGAAGCTAAGAAAATGCTTGGTCCTCTGCTCGCAGTATTATCGCAGTCACACAGAGCAAGAGAGCTTTATGCACTATGTGTGCTGTAATATGCCATTATTTGTTTGTAGTAGTGTTGGCTGGGATGCCTTGGTGAGAAAACAGGTAACTCGGGCAGAATGTGATTTGCTGGGGAGAGACCCAACTGTGCAGCATCAACTTGGGTTCATCAAAACCCATTATTTGTTGGTCAAAGCTCTGCTTTCTGAGGCAGCTTATTGAAACTCCAACCAAACTCCTCATAGCATTGAATTACTCTGTTTTGCCTGGAGATACACCCTTGGGATCTCACCTGTTATCACAATGCAGGAATCAATGGCTCGATTTCTACTGGCACATATGATCACCACGTAGTTTGTCTTTATTAATTTTCCTTCAATGAGCAGCTTAAACATTTCTGAAAGCCCTTCAGCCAGCGAGTAGCTGCACTCAATGATATGGACGCTATCATTACAGGAGCTAGCTGCGAGGCCCGCCAGCCAGGGGAGCTGGGCTGAAGTCACTGGTGCAATCTGGCTGGGCACTTGAGAAAAGGTTTGTGGAATAGCCTGTTGGTACTGACGGATTTCAGACAGGTGTGATTCCCGCCATGAACGCATGAATATTTGTTCCAAATCCTCAATCAAAGGGACCTGGTCCGAGGCTAAAAAAATTTAAGAGGAAAGTATTATGAAACAATTAAACAAAACTGTTGAGTTGAAAACATCTTTTTTCAAGATATGTACTTTTTTAGAGATGGTCATGTTTCAAGATTTATGCATGCATGACTCTATTGCCTTTAGCAGATGTGAACCAATTTTTTCATTTTGAAGTGCCTTTGTGATACTCAAGTAAAGCTGCCCTAATTGGAACCTGAGTATCAGTAATTAGAAATATATAAGAGGTTGAGTGCTGGCTGTCTCAAGATAATACTACTTCTAAACCACAGACTGTATGCAAGAGCAGTGAATTACAGCTCTTTTCCTTTTTTTATTTTCATTTACCGAGGTCCCAGATTATAGAAGATGAACTTTGTATGATTATATTTCAATCTGTCTGATCTTCAAGAACTAATGATTTAGTTTTGTTTCAGTACCACGAATGAAATTGTTTAATATCATGTCCTAAGACTGATATTTAATATTGTCCTGCCCTAATATTCCCTTTCTCATTTACCAGCATGTAATATGTTCATTGAAGTCTTTCTGGATGTAAAATAATCTTACCTAGTTGAACGAGGTAGTAGACAGTCAGTAAGAGCTGCATTTCCTCTGAAATAGGCTGTATTGTAGAGGCGCCATATTGTTCATAAGCTCTAGATAAAGACTGTGAATTTCTGTAACAGGTGTACAACAAAGAGCTCACTATCACATCATTAATGTTCCCACAAAGATAAGGGAAGTTTCCATGACCTACAAAATAAACAATGTTTGTACACATCGCATTAATTTCATAATTTCCCATGTATGCATTAAACAGTTCTAATAGTAAACCTTTTAAAATTGACAGCTTTAGCAGTGTTTAGCAGTAGGACATATCTTTACATCCCTTACAAAAAAGAGTTAAGGTCTTGTTGGAGGGTTGGGGTTTTTACCTTTAAAAATAACTGGCTTTGCTTTACAGATTTTCAACAAGTTGTCAGGAACTGAGACTGGTTCTCCTGAGCCCACCATTGGAGATGAGGCTGGCCCCACCAAAGCAGAATGTGGTAAAGATGATAGGCTTCCTCCATCTAAGATTTTAGACATATTATTACTGGAGTCAGGTCTAATAATTATTTCCTCAAAGAAAAGTTATTCAACATCATCTCATACCCACATTTGGTTTCAGTATTAAATGCTTTTTCTGGTTACATCACATTTCATGAGCTGTTACTACAACCCATACTATTATGCTAACTTTCTTGGAGAACTAATTATATTGTTACAATCTTGAACATTGCACATGCATCTGAAGATTTTGAAATGTTTATAAACAAACAGTTCCAGATATGAATGCAAGAATACAGAGACTTATGTGATATCAATGCACAAATAGTTATGATTTGTGTGTTCTGTATGATATATTTAATTTCATTACTTCTAAACAGGTTTTCTGGAAAGAAAGAAAAAAATAAGATTCAATGTTTGCTCAATCGTAACTTCTTTACTGTAATTTTAATTTAAACAATAGCACATTAAAAGAAAACATTTTGGGGAAAGCGGGTTTATTTTACTGCACGTCACTCTAGTCTGTGTCTAGACTATAAAATCCAAGTGCCAAGAACCCTGTGACAAATAATTGAAACAATGGATGGTACCTTGTCCTGAGTTATGACAATAATTTTAATATCCCAAAGGTGTTTCGGTGTCTAAAGATGGACACAGGCTCCAGTTGGGATTTGTTAATAACAACTTGATGACTGGATCCCAATGAGAGTTAAGCTCAGAGCCTCAAAAAGAAATCAATGGAAATGAAGCTCCTAAATGTAGGTGAGCATGTAGGTATCAAACACCTTTCAAAACTCTAACGCGAATCTGCATCCGTCTTTAAAATATTGCCTCTTTTCCCCCATTATTTTCTGAATAATGAAACAAACATTATCGTTACCTTGGGTATAGCTTACCATTTTTAATTCTGTTTGGAGCCTGTGGGTTGAGCTGCAAGTTCCAAGTTTCAGTAGATGATGGAGATTCTGGTGACCAACCTTTATGGCGCTTTTTTGGAGGCCCTGAATTTGTTAAAGTGCCTGAATAACAGTAATATTTCAGAAAAGTATTAGAATAAAATGTATTTAGTTTTGTGCATGGTAATTCAATATGTTTTGATAGACTGAATGTGTGCATTAAGTACTGTGGTAGACAGGGTCAACTCCATGAATATAATAATTCTTTATGGTTTTTATTTTACTTTGCTATGTCCTGCTTAAATCTCTGGAAATTTTCTGGTGCAGAGAACTCTTAATTATCTAGGCAGACTTCACTTCTTTTATAGCAATGTTTACTCTGTACTAAGAATAACGTAGTAAGAATGAGACAGGTACTAAGAATGCTTCTGAGTGTTAATATTTTGAAGTCAACACTGTGGGCATTTTGCTCCTTTTATTTCTGAACACATGACACAGTGTTTCATGTAACTTATTGCAAAATAAAATTCTCAAGGGTTTCAGGGTAATAGTAATAAAGATCTGAGTTCTTTTCAACAATTTTCCCATTTACAGGATTTTAATGCTCATGTAACTTTGCAAAATAAAATTCTCAAGGGTTTCAGGGTAATAGTAATAAAGATCTGAGTTCTTTTCAACAATTTTCCCATTTACAGGATTTTAATGCTGGTTACCATCTTTGGTTTTATGTTATTCCATATTAACTCCTAGCAAATTACTTCTGCGCTTTTCTCTTACCCACGTGTAGCTCCAACACCTTTGTCTGTAAAAACATAACTTTCTCAGTTTTTCTAAAAGCTCCTGATGATTAATTTCTTGAATCTTCTTGTGCACTCCTACAAAATCCTAGAATGATGAGCTTCCACTAACAAAGTATTTCTAATTATTGAGAGTCAATGGTCCTCCAGGAATTGCTCAGCATCTTGCAGGATTGAGCTATTTCTCTTTCTGGACATGACTATGCAGAGGTCATAACACTACTTCACACTGGCCAGGGCTTTATCTCCTGGCAGAATGGTTAGTCCCACATAAAATTCAAGACAGAGTAAGAATCTTATATAAAAAAGGGGGGTTTAATTTTGCAAAAGATATTAAAATTAAAAATAAACCTGAAGTCTTCAGATCTAGAATAAGATTGTTCACTTGCAGAAGAACCTTATGTACAGGTTTTCAAAGATGACTTTGTCCTTTAAACTTTTACCACGTGAGGGCAGTATTTAGCCATTTGTGCTACTCATTCTTTCGTTTAGTTTCCTGGCATAATGTTGTGACAAAAGTCACAAGATAGTTAGAGCAAAACAAAGACTTTTTTATTTGAAAATGTCGTACTCTTTCCTGCAGATATGTTGATATGTGAAAGTAATCTGTCTGAAATGAATTGGCAAGAGTATGTTGCTGCATGGAAGAAAGAGATCAAGAACCTGAATGGGTAGAGAAAGAATTTGGCTGTGATGCCAGCCGGGAAACTTGAGAAGACTTATTCTAAAATAGAGCTATAGCATGTTTCTAGCCATATTGAAGACTAACTTTCTTGCTTAAACAAGCCAGTGACACAGAGTACAGTTTGTGACAGAAAACAATTAACACAAATCATGATGATAATGGTGCAGTGAGGACAGTTTCTTTAATTTGGAGCCAGTTGTCAAAAGTCTAGTTCTCCATCCCAAGGTGAACTGCAACATAGGAATTATCCTATGAGTGTTTACTTATAAATCTTTCTTAATTCCCCTCACAAAACCTGTTGGTGAGATTGATGCAAACTGACACATTCTTTAAGAACCTGGATTCAAAATCTAGACTGTACTTCTATTAAATGAATGAACTGCAAATACAATGAAAAACTTCCAATTAATAATCTGAACTGTAACAAACTAGGGCTGAAAACATATAAATAATATATATTTTTTTTAAATTAACAGAGAAAAAAGTGTTATGGTCAGAAAGGACTTGGAAGGGAATAGTAATTTCTATTCATACAGGAAATTACGATCATGATATCATTTGTTCAATGCTTCTATTATACCCATGGAATATAGAGTTTAGGGTTATTAAACAACAAATCCATACAAATACCTAATACCGAAGGTCTTGTCAGAGCAGACAGGTTATTTTTCACCAACTGTTGTTTAGGCGATTCCTTGCCATTATAAACTGCTGAGCTGAACGCTGCTGTTGAAGGGATGTGATCTATGGCTGCAGCTGGCAAGAAAAAAAACAAAGTATTTACATGAAACATTTCTAGATCAAGATCCCAATTGATATAATAAACTGATCACTTGATCATTTACTTTAATAGAGCCATATGGATCTGCTCAGAGTGAATGCAATGCTGAACAAAACAAACCCACTTCTGATCTTATACCAGATTATTGCTGACTCCCAAGTAAGTGCCTGAGTAAAATCCGATTCTGCAATTAAATACATATGTCAGATCCTTTAGCTTCTTTGCAGATGGACCCTTGCTCTTACATGAAGTTTACTCAAGAACCAGCTAAAAGAGTAAGAGAGGTTGTTTAAAATTTACTAAAAATCTCCTAAGCCTCCATTCCAATTCCATCCTCTTTCCAAGCTTCTTTTTAACTATGCTGCATTAAAGAGAGAGGTTTTCTCAAGCGTAATATGCTTGTAATTAATGTAGCTTTTTTATATATGTAATCTCTGACAAAAAAAATGCCAATCTGCTATTATAAAGAGATTAATGATTTGTTCTGGAGGGGTACCAGTATTCCAGATCACAACTATTTAACAGGCTTTTATCTCACCGAGAGAATATAACCACCAACAGATGCGCCTCAGTTCTGCTGTGTGAATCTCTGCAACAGTCACAAGACATTAAAGAGCTGTTTTCATTAGGAAGAAGCTCAGAGAGATCACTCCAGCCTCTATCATCCATCATCTTTCACATATGTCAAGCTAATGGAAAAGTAAATGTTTCAGAAAGAACTTTTAATACAAAAAAAGTTACAGATACTGATCATTAGTTTGTTTTTTAATATTAAAGCCACTTTTCTCAGCAGAAGAAAAAACCCAGAAGCTTTTAAACTGATGCCCATATAATGCCTGCAATAGAGAGGATTCTGGTCATACATAAAATAGACTGGATCATAAAAAAAGCTGAAACGACACTGGTTCCTGTAACATTTGTCATCTGTGACCAGACAAGCAACAGCTGGAGGAACGTAATACCCATTCTCAGCAACTTTAAAAATAATGGCTTTTAAAAAATTTTTATTTGCCTTAGCTATGAGCAAGCTGCAGAACACCTATTTTATTATTTGCTAAGCTTTAATACATAAACCTGAGGGGAAAAAATGGACAGCAAGAAGCCTTCAAAGTATGATTGTTTTCTTTATTTGTAATATATCTCTAAATCTATTCAACCTGTTTTATTTTATGTGGTAGCGTGCTTATTTGTTTGTCTTTCCATTCACACAAGTACACACAAATACACATGCACAGAGGAGTAAGAGTAGGTGCTAACCCAGCGTGTTTTCCCTCTAAGTGGTACCTGTTTGCTGAGTCCCAGACGGAGCACTTGGGTTTGCTGCTGGGAGCGGCTCACTTGAGGTGCTTCCTGAGAGGCCCGAACTTTCTGGCAGTTGGAACAATGTGCTTGAGCAGGTGCTGGACGAAGACTGCCGGCCTCTGAACTCTTAACAAAAAAGAAACTTCTTATCCCCTGACAACAGCGGCATTTGCTTTTTCTCTGCAGATTTGATTTGATAATTTCACACATGAATTACTTGGGGACTACAGCACTTGGAAGGGAGGAACCGATGTCTTCAGACATGCCATCCTCATATTAGGTCAGTCAATTGCTTTTTATAGCTGCTCTAGTAATCACCTAGGTTTAAAGAGTCTTTCTTTCAACTGATCTGTCTTAGGTTTTACACAGACGCCAGTCGCTGTGATAGCTAAGCTTGGATGATGAAAACCAGAGCTCAAGGAAGACAGCTTCATTATCTTACCTGCCCCTTTCCAGCAGATTACAGATCCTTTGGTCAGAGCTCCCTGTGCATTCCTGACCAGATAATACTTTAAGTGTTTCTGTTTCTTGGGCTGAGTGGTCAGTTTAAGATTAATGTGATTTGAGAATTCTGTAAAGTAGCAGAAACCCTTCTTGCCGCAGCCAACACAATTGCCAGAGAAGCCTGATAAAATAAACAATACATATAATCCAATGAGATAGGTGGGTCACTATTAATAACATCCAAACACAACTCTTTCCTGGAGAAAAGTGTATTTGTGGTTTTTTTTCACAGACTGAACTTTTTATTAACATTTTCCCCCAAAAAAATATTACATCAAATCCACTGTATTGCACTTTGGCTACCAGATTGCAAAAACAGAGCCCCACATTTACAGAATAATTAAAATAGGCCGTATTTTTCATTTTCTCACACCAGAAGAAGTTCACGATTCCTATTTATTACCTACCTGTGAAACGTGAAACCAAGAAGTTTCTGATTGAAGAGTACTGAATCACATGCTTAACCCCAGCCCTATTCAACACCACAGAAGATACATGCTTCACTTGTTTCAGCTTTCATTGAAATTAAACATGCAATTAAGTCTCAAGAAATTAAGTATATTTAATCTATTATATTTAATCAGATCTAAGTATATTTAAGTACCAAGTTCCTACTACAGATGCATTTTTCGAGAGGAAAAAATACTAAAGACTTCCTGGGCTATTAATGTAAAGTAGCTTTCTCAAATTATAGCTGGACTGTGTTAGCACTTCACAGCAGTTTAAACTATTTATGATTACGGAAACAAAGTGTCTGCAACTTTATAGACAAGACAGACATAGTCCTTGCACGTAAAGAAGCTTATTGTACTAAGGCTTGATGGGGCACTTCCAGGGATACTGCCATTTCCTCTCATTCTGAGATACACAGTTTGAGCCTCAAAGAGGGGCTCATGATGGTGATGTCGTTATCACTGTAAATAAAGGGCATTCCTTGCACAGCTGACTATCTGCCTTTCATTCTTAAACAGCTTTTTTTGTCCATTTTCCAAAGTATTTCCTAGGAAATTTGCATCTTGCATCAGACCAATGCAACTGTCTGAAAATACGTATTTTCTACAAAGAAATCCTACAGTGTGCAATTAGAAGATGATCTTTCCCATGGAAATTTTCTCTCTGTTCCCTACACGTGACCTGAACCATGAAGTTTTCTTTTATTTTAATCGTATCTAATGTACATTTTTATGCATTGTCACAGGAATTGAAATGGAAAGGGTGTGTTCAGTGAATTGAAAGATGGCAAAAATAAAATAAAGGAAATGCATTTCACATAACAGATGGAGAATAACATTGGAAATAAATAGTATAACTGGAGTAAAGGGTCAATAGTATGGTAGATAAAGTGAAGAGCTATTTAACGAGAATGATGATCTCAATCACATATTTCAGGCAAATTAAGTTTTCAAATTAACAGTCAATACTTTTTTTCCTTCTGTAAAATACAAGCACTGAAATACAATGTTTTGTAAACACCTGTTGCTTGGTTTACAAGCCGAGCACTTTCATTAGTTTTCAAATGGCTCAGAAGAATTTATTAAAAACATACGTTCATGTGGAAATTGGTCTGGGAACCAGACTTGTTCCGTGGGAACAAGTGGCTAACAACTATTGAAAGCTGCCTATTATCTCTCTGATCCTGGTCAGTAAGATGATAAAGGTTATTATGACTCATAAAATCAGGACAAGGCATGACTCTGCAGAATCCTCTGTGTTATATCAGCACAAAAGCATCTGTCTAACATCACAGAGCCTTCAGTAGCTGCAATAAAAGTAACAACAAAAGGAAACAAAACTAGAACGGATGTGGCAAAAGCTGTAGGGTTTGCATGCATTTTATGCAGATTAAGAAATCATGAAAAATGCTTCTGCTAGTAAATGAAAACTTCCCATACATTTGGCAGCACACTGAGCATGACCAGCAGCACTGCAATTTTTGCCTGGTTGCCACTTACAAGCCCTTACATGTTTTCAAATACAAGCACAAGGGGACCATTCCCAAAAGTAAAGTAGAAGTACCTGTACACTTTAGGTTTTATCATTTTGCTGAGAGTGACCAGCAACTTGCCAAAGCCACAGGTAGAAATATTTGTTCAACAGAAGTTGGACAGTGGACATAAAATCTTTTCATGTGGACTTTAGATCAGTCATTATTGGTAACTTTTGTAAATCATCCTCTGCCTAAAACAGATTAACTTCTACCTGAAATAACCTTTTGCCCTAATCACTTATTTTTAACTCTGTGAGGTCTACTGGAAAATTAGTTTACACCACATATAGCATACAGGTGAGGCCTAGTAAGTATTAAACAGATCTAAATTGCCCACTTGTTTTGAAAAGTCCTTGGAGAACATTTTACAAGTTTATTTTTTAATTTTCCTTTTAAGTCAAACTATCATCTTTCACCTCAAGCTTCCCCAGTTCCTCTGAGTCAGACTGAGTCCTTTCTTGCAAGCTCCTGCCAACACCATTTTTCATCCCATTCATTCTGACCAACACTCTCGTTGATGACAGCCATTGCTTCGTTAATACAGCTCAGCCCTGACACCACAGATAGAACATAGCATGATCTTATAATTCCAATGCAATAAAACGCTGTTCAATCATTACTCACTGCAGGGCTCTGCCAACCTTGCTCGTAGCACTTTATGTAGAAGATTGAGGAACATGGAGAACCCAAACATTTCATCATCCTCCTTTCTCTGCACGCCCTGTTCACGTGCCGTGGCCCGAGGCAGCAGCTGATAGAGGGGACAGCTTGTTTCATAAACAAGCTGCATTAAATATTCTTCCATACATTATAGAGAGGACAAAGGTCAGGGGAGTTGGGGCAGCCATAAGGTGACTCAATACATCTATGTCATGGGATTGATTTCACAAGAGAATTAGAAATCAATGCCTGGAGTTTAGGGGCTAAAAGCCTTTCACCTTTAGGTCACCAGTTCATATCCAACTCAGTTCAGTAGTGACTTAAGGCTGTTATGCTCTGAAGATTATTTAATCAGAAGGTATTTGATTGTGTCTGGAATTTTATCATATGCATTTGCTTGAATTTGCTCACATCACAATGATCAATTGCTCATAATTTAAAAAGCTCTTCCACAGTAGGGACCTTGCGGTCAGAAGAAGGACCTTGGACTAAAAGGGTATGAAACCCGATCTACCTTCTCACTGGGGAAATGGTTCCTTTGGATCAACAGTGAGCTTGTGCTAGGGATAAAGACAGGACCTCAAGATGGAAGGATATCCATCTAATATTTCATAATCTAATATTTCATAATCCAATCTTTCATAAATTGGCAGAAAATTTTCTTCCTGTTTCTCTTTTAAATGAATAATAGGCTTTTAATTAATGTTAATATTTTTGTGGAAAGTTGGCAGCTTGCTTAAGACAAAGAATGATTATATTTCCAACTTTTCAGCAAAAGTATTTCTTCTTTTCAGTCCTACTCACAAGAAAAAGCACACAGACACTGACAATGCTCCACATTTTTCCCTCCTTCTTAGTACCACTCCATTTGAAGATTGAAGTCCTAAATTTAAAAAATAAATTAAATCAATATGGTCAAGCTGGAGAGCTCCATTGTACAGAAACTCACTACTGTTACAAAAGCCCAATAGAACATTGCACATTTTAACAGAAGCAGCCACAGTATTTTATACTACAACGTTTTCATCTTACACACAGCTAACAATGCAAGCAAACTAATCTTTTCCTCCGTCATTCTGACCTCAGGGACCCACTGGAAAAAAAAGGGATTTCTTATTCCCTGCTAGGAAAGTGGACAGCTGTTTGGTCTTTTGGGAAGGAAAATGATGGGTGAATAGCTGCTTTGTTTCTCATGAGAGACTCTCCTTAAGAGTGAGAACTGGGAAAAAAACCCAAAAGAGGAAAAAAACCTTTGGGAGTGGTACACGTTAGCTGCTTTTACTAGGAAACAATAAATATCGCACTATCACAGAAGTGCTTCCTCCATCTAAGCATTCCTTTAGGTCACAAAAACTCTGAGAAACAGCTTCCTAAAGGCAAAGAGCTGAATCTGTTTTGCAGAGTAGTTAAACCTGTGATCTAACTTGATTAACAGAAGTGTACGAGGTACATGCTCAGACACAGAGAACTTTTTGCTTGCCAAAAATATAGTGTTTTCCAGAAAAATTTTTTTTTTCTATGGAACCATACGTCAATTGTAAAAACAAAGAAACAAAACAACCTCCAACAGAAATTACTTTCAAATCACCAGCACATATGCCTTGATGGTGGGACAACTTATTACCATAATCAATAAACTGGCACATGCCCCACAGGCATATCAATAGCCCCTAATGGGAACAAGACCATAAGTCAAAAGCTGGCCCGGAAAATACCAAGACATTTCCTGTTTTCTTCTGGAATTTTTGTATGCTCCACAGGCATCTTCACAAACATATTCAGGCGGACCATGAGAAATCAGGAAACTATTGGGTAATTCATTAGTGTCTTTTCCCTTCAAATAAATTATTTTGGAAAATATCTACAGTACTGAGTAACAGCTTACAAAAACACAGTATATTAAGAGAAAAAGCATGAAATTAAGAAAAAACAATGGGGTTGAAGGGTTACAAGTGATGTGCCTGTATCACCAATAAGCCTTACCAGAAGTGTGGGATATACTCTGACTCATGATGACAGTTCATTTCAATGCAAAATGAATCCAATTCAATTTCCCTCTGAACTTAGAAAGGCTTGAGGGGATCACTTTCCATGCTGTTTCAAAAGGCCAACATGTTTGAAGGAGAACAGCCTAAACTCAGCATACCAAAAATAAGCCTTCTATCCTGTCTTTAAAAGCAAGACAATAAAAAGAGCTTCCCTTCTTCATGTATAATATTTTCAACTTAAATCTGTCATGAGACAGAGGTCAGTGTGTTATACTAATAGACAGAAAATTTAAAGCAAGAACAGTTTTGTCTTTTATCTCACTAAGTGTCTGAAACTGTGAGACTATTCATGTCTGCTTCTAATTTTACTTCCCTGATTTGACTTGCATCAGTGTATGAAAACCAGAATCAATAATTTCTATCTACAGTATGATCTATTGTACGAATAGTATGCTATCGTCATGTCAATAAGAAAAATCGTGGTTTTTCATTAGATTAGGGACCAGGAACATTATTTTTTTCCCAGCTTTCAGATGAAGACTTTGGATCTTAAAGTATGTAAGTTTTTTCATATTTAAGCTTGTTATAGAATACATAAAAGTCATCCTACAGAATTACTAAAATTATTTGCAAAAGAATGTGATTCACTGGTGTTTAAGTGCATAACAGCCAAAAATAAGCATTTAAATGGTTTCAGGAAACTAAAATGTATTAAATAAGCAAGCTGAGGATGCAAGTAGCATAAAAACCTCCCAGTTATGTTCCTGTTGCCTTTTTCTATTCTTGTTTAGCATGCAATTAACAAATACATTACTTCCTCTCTGCTAACAGCCTAAGGAGCTTAAGCTGTTAATAGTGCTAGCACTGAATGACTTGAGTGGTACAACATTCCTGTCTTTATCTTTAAAATGACAACACGTGTGTGATTTACAACCCTCTTAATTCTTTTACAATCACTGGCCAAATGTACTGTGACCAATCCAACTCTGCAAGATCACATGAGGAAAGAAATTACTGTACATAGAATTACATTATGCACCTTCACACTACACTGTCATCCCAAATGCCTTGAAGAGTTACTCAAACTGACATAACCACTGAGTTCACATCATATCCCTCAGTGTTTGTGAAAGAAAACAGTTAAAAGACGTAACAAATGTTTCCTTTTTGCTATTTAAAGCTCGGACTGGTACACAGATATATGATGCAGCATTTTTTGGTTAACTAACTAAGAAAATAATACATAAGTACCTGAGAGTGCCTGACTGAAAAAAAGTGTTCTCCATCCGATTATATAGCACTTGTCCCAGAATAAAAACTATTCCATTTTAATAACATTAATATTCAGTTCATTCATTCACATGATTGCAGATCATCCCTATTTGGGTTGATTTGGATGAGGCTAATGGCCATCAGAAAGTCTATAATAAAAATAGATAGAAGGACCTAGTTTTATGTCAGAAGTTAGACTTTTAAATAGATGAAAAGCAAGAAATTAGAGTATCCTACAAACAGTATTATTCAGACACACAGTATTACCTGATTACACATATAGGAAAAATTTCAACTTATAATCATTCGTATTTATTTATATTGTGATAATAGCAAAAAGTCATAGGTTAGGATCCAGAACCCATGCTATTGTTCAAACACAGTGGAGAATATTACCCCATCTCAAAGAGATAAATCAAAAAGATCATAAATTTTTATAGTCCAAACTATCTTCAAACTGTTTACATGTATATAGTAGCCTGAAAGTTCCACTTGACAGATCTACTGTCTGTCCATGTTAGTATTTGGAAAGCTAAAATAGAGACAGGCAGCAGTTCAACAAGTCCAGTTACCAGATGCGCAGTTCCAGCGACTAGGACATAAACTGATCAGGCAATGGTTTTAGCCCTGGACTAACGGATAGAAGGTGGTGAAGCATTTCTAATGAACTGGCTCACTCTGTATCTTTCCAAAGCAAACATAGCCAGCTCCGAGTTGTTATCCTGTTGTGCGTCACCAGTGAGTGTTACTGTAGACGTGAAATGGAAATAAGATCTGCTGAACTCACTCTGCAAAAAAAGATTAGCTATTAATTGTAGTCCACAGAAGCATCCACTTACTGCAATCACAGACACTTACCCAACAGGGCATTGCGCCCATTGTCATCTGGCAGGAATCTTTTATCCACAGCACACACTAAAAGGTGATCAGGTAAATTTGGTGACTTTGCACCAACAAGTAAAAAACCTGATGGTACCTCAATATGTTCATTGGAAATTGAAACGAGTCTCAAATCTTTACCAGCCTGGCAGAAACCTAGAAAAAAATCAATTCAACGTATTTTTAAGTTGACAAGACTTTTTTTTGTTTAATACTCACAATTGTCTTTATTAAAGGACTTCCTGTATTTTTAATGAAAAACAAAGTTGTATCCTCTGAGGTCAAGGGCAAACTAAGAGATAATTTTCTTCCCTGCCTTTTGGTCAGCCATAAACAGATGCTATCAGTACAATAAATAAATAAAAATCTGAAAATGTACAGTGAAGTTTCTCTTAATGATGTTTTGCAACCTACATACTTATGGGACTATTTACTAACATCATCATAACTTAGGTCAGACATTCAAAAATTGAGATAACAGTTCTCAATATCTGGTGAAATTCACCGGTTTTTCCTGGGTTTTCGAATATTTTTTACAGCAACATTGAATGAAGTACACTTTAAATAGAAAAGAGCAAGGATAAAGCTGTAAGAATTACCACATTCATTTTCGCAAACGCCATGCCTGCAAACTCAACCTTTTAAAGGTCACATTGCCTAAGAGAACAGAAGTTCTGTCCTCATGCCAGGCGTTCCAACACAAACGCTTATCTGACACACTGGGCAAAGACCCTATCAAATATAAAAGCAACCAAGAGCAATCCAGCTTTATCCGGCAGGCAATGAACACTGACATTTTTAGTATTTCTATATTGTATAGATTATCTCATTCTGATGAATTATAGGGGAAATGGCCCCAATCCTACCCTTTTCAGCAGGGCAAATGCCTTCTGACAGCACGTTTAGTGCATTTCTTACCATCAGTAGTGCAACATCCTTCTGGGGGAGGCTTCATCTGGTAAGAAACAGGACTACTTGATTCTGAGCCTTCTTCCTCCTCCTCTTCTTCTTCTTCCTCATTATCTGCTCTGCTGCCTGCTACAAATTATCATAGCATAAATGACTTAGACAACAGAAAACACTGGCAACAAACCAATGAATGAACAGGGTGACCCAGTTACAGAAAGTATTACAGCAAACTGGATTCTCTCCTCTTGACAATGACTTCACTGTTGCCAACTCTTAAGATATTTGTTGTTTCCTTAAAGCTTCAACTTCCAGTCATACTTACAATAGAATTTCTTTCATTAAAAAAATAAAGCTTTTAGCTCCTGTGCAAAAAAAATTCAAAAGCATGACGCAACTGCACCTGAGAAAGTAAAAAAAAACCCTGAAGGACAAATAAAAAGAAGCCTCAATTTGTTATTTTTTTAAATCTCATTATTTTTAAGCTAACCTCACAATTTTTAGAAGCCTAACTCCTGATGTTTGAATTCTTACTGATCACAACAGTGTAACTGTATCCTTTGTTTATAATATTAACAGCCAATATAAACCCGAAGTCATTAATTCTTAGCACTTTAGAATGTCCTGGCTACAGTCCAAGTACAGATTTTATTAATTAGGTATTGACCATGTCCTTGATGTTGTACAGGAAACTGAAGAAACGGTTCCTGTTTGAAACTAGGTTCACCACAGATGATGCCACGATAAGAACACCTAATTCTCAGGCCGTCTGTCTCCTACCAGAAGCCAGAACTCTGAGTAAAGCACTGCTGCTCCCTGTACAATGTCATGGAAAGGCAGATGTCTAGGAAGATGATTCACAGCAGCCTATGCATGGACTGTGCTAGTCTAGGAGGCAATACTGAATGCTGAGGAGAAGAATACATGATATAGGCTCCATTTTTTAGAGGGTTTTAGGTGTTTCTTCTTCAGATTCTCTGCTGTAAACTACTTTTCTGGTGCACCAGCTACCTAAATCCGCATTTTTACCTGATAGCTTGCTTGTTAAGAGAATTCACCTGTGTATTATTGGTGTATGTTTCAGCCTTCCAACTAGAGACTGCTTCTTTCCTTCTCTCTACCCATAGGGCAATAATTTTTTCATGCATAATGCAACAGCTCCAGCAAAACATAGTGAGCGATGACTCCATCCCCTCTTAACGGCTCAGACATGCTCATGGCAAATGGGACAAAGCTGGCAAGCAGAGGAGTGCAGCTAAATAGTAAATGGGAGAACACTTCTACGGGCAGGACTAAGGAAAATTTCAGACAAGATCCAGCCTTACATATGACAGAGATGGGGCACAATTACTAAGTCAACCCAGTGGTGCTTATGTCTTAGGCTTCTAGCTTCCATAGGGACATGCCTGCAGCAAACACAAAGAGCTTTCACTCGCAAAATTGGGTGGTGAAGGGCTGCAGGTACTTGAGAATCAGCAAGAAGCCAAATAGCTGTTTGGACTTGGGCAAGTAAAATAGCAGTTAGGCTCCTACATTATTCTGTTGATCCAGCTTTTAGTCTTGAAACAGAAAAACAATGGAGCACACTGCAGTCATCCTCCAAAGTTCAGTGTCAACTGGACGTACTCTCTTTGCTTCAACTGACTTTGGATCAGGCACTCAGAATCCCATAGGATATTCATCGAGGATTTTTTTTTTCCTATGACCCTCCTCAGAATATGATTTTATTTTATTGACAAATTATTGTAGAAACAGCTAAACAAATACTACAGGATAAATGAGAATTAGGGAGGAAGCTGAAGAAAGTAAATCTGGATTTTGAAAATTTGTCTCTAAGGGTTATTAAGACTTACACCTCAATCTAGAAGAGGATTTGAAGGGTATGTTTACTTTTAAGTATCTAAACATCAAGCTTCAGTCCTGTTGCACACAGATAAGGACAGAACGTTACACACGGCTGTTTTAAGGGTGTAGTCTAAAGAGAAAAATGCTGAAAGTGAACAAAGGGAGAAGTGAAGCTCTCTGTCTTTGCTATTTAAGTCAGGGGTAAGTTATGTGGTATGTCTTAACCTTGACTAACTTCCAAACGCAATGCAAAAGGGGTGAGTCTGGCTCTCCTCTCTTTCCCCACACTCCCAGCCATCAAGTTCCTTCCTTCCTCTTTATGCCAGTTCTGACACTTACTGGAGCCTGTGCTGAGCCATCCCAGCTTGCTAACCCAGCAGAAAACTAAGCAAACAAAAGTGACCAGGTTTTTTTACTGAGTTTATGTATTAAGTTAGCTCAGTGGAAGATCCAAAAAATGCCAAAATTGATGAAAAGGGAGAAAATGGGAACATGTGGCTAGGAGGAGTGTGGGGAGCAGGATGTGGGATTTTCCCCTTTGGGCAGTGGTAAACTGTTAGGTTTGTTCAGCCATAACAGGTAATTTCACATTTAAAAAAAAAAAAAAAAAAGATAGAGACAAGAAATGGAAGTGGAGACTAAGAAATAGGAGAGCTACAGCACTTTCAGGTCAAAAATGAACAGAGTACAAGAGCGAATATGAGCTGCTGTCACCTGTAAAGGGCATCATTAGGGTTTCTGCTGCTTGTTTGAAAAAAGATCTACAGTTTCTTCTTCGTTTTACTTTTAAAGCAGGGCCCTTTCAAAGACCTTTATGTTTGCATGTGCCTGTTCCACATCTTCTTTTCTTAAACAATGCCAGAAGAACACACAATCAAGCACTCAAAACCAGAGACAAGGTGATGGCAAAAGTGGACTCACAACCATAGTTCTTCTGTTGTATGTTACAGAACTAGGCAGTCAGCTGACGTAACAATATAGCACCATTAAACCAACAGACATACTGTGAAGACTCTGTCCATATTTTACGGATTTTAAATTTATTCATAGATACTATAAACACCATTGTCTGCTTTAAGGAATTCTTTTCAGTTCTCACAAAGGATTTATTAGAACTTTATGCTTATACAGTTGTGATTAAGACATTTCACATGGAAAATTCTTCTCTCCTTAAGGTATAATTTAAATGTAAGTTAAGTTCTGCCAATATTTTAATATACATATAATTTTTTCTCAGCAGGACTATTCATAGGGCTGATATTATCCACAAACTGATTGCAGCATCAGGACTTAAATCAACAGCCACAAAATATATTGTATCCATGAACAGACAGCCTCCCTTAAATGCAGATCAAGGAAGGAAGCAGTTAACCAAAGGCACAAGTTCGCTGCAAAGTTCACATCAGAACGTGGTGCTGCTATCAGAGCTGAATACAACACCACCCAATGAACCACCTCACTGCAGTGGAGCCAACTGCCACACTGCTGCTCTGCATTGCTTTGCCACGCCGCTTCCCACCCTTTTCCCACTGAAGTCCCAGTGGTATCAGTGGTATAGGACTTGGATGCTAACAGAAAAATAATGGTTGTCATTAACTTTTGAAACCAACTTCACACCTCTTTGGCAGAAACATAATACACAGGCCTAAAAGATGGCACCCAAATGCATCTAAGAGCACAAGAGAAAAATGGCAGAAATATATTTTGTATTTGAGAAATAAGATGTGATTAGAGAATCAAAACTGTGAATGTGATTGTGATTCAAATGGGATTTTGATTTCAGAAGTGAAGAATTAGATTAAAAAGCCTCACTGATCTGCACATAGTGACTTCTAATAACTGGCAATCCAGTCCACAGGTTTAATTTGCAGTTTATATGGTAATAACTAGGCAAACAGAGATATGCAAGAAATCTAAACCTGTTAAAGCCAAATAACCTTGCCTTCTATTGCAAAGAGTTTTTAATGCACATTCCTAGAAAGTTCCTGAACATAGAGACCATTTATTGCCATTTGCAAATATGTTCTGCAATTACAAAGGCTAAGAAAATTAAGACGACTTTAGAAGACCCTCATTAGAAATGTATGACCACAGCAAACTGCAGGCTTTTTGATAAAATGAAAAATCTAGCAAAAGGTTTAAGTAAAGATAACATTTTTGGACTATTTTAAGCACTACATGAATTTGCCAGGTCTGGAGAAGTGAGGAAACACATCAATAATAAAAAGGCAGAAAAAAAAAAAACCAGAATGAAAAAACATACTATTATTGGAGCCAAGGAGATCTGATATTATGTCTAAACCAACTTAGGTGAACGTGGCACTTTTAATTTACATAGCTAGAAATAATTTTATAGGCAAATGTAATTGTATAAATGACTATAAAGGCATGCATTTATAATTTTTTTTTTTCCAAACCTAGAATGTGTAGACTGGAAAACCATACTCACTGGAAAATACATGTTTGCAAGTTCACTGCAAAAAATGTAACATCTAGGCCAGAACGGACCAACATGTTCATTTAACTTGTCTCCAGGCACACTACAGTCTCTTTTGCACAAATAAATTATTTTTAGGCATAAATTATCATGACAGATATGTAATGATATTAGGCTAGTGTCAGTGGCTATGTACTTTTTTCTGGTTTAGATGGTCATTTATGTATCAAAAGGACACAGAAAAATGTTTTTTAAACAAAAAAATATAAACCTAAAAATAATGACAAGTTACAACAGGTGACTGATAAAGCTTAAAAAAAAAATTCCAATTGTTTTTTTCTTAAACTGACTATATACTCAATTGTCAGGCTTTCTAGCAATTTTGATACTGTAACATCATCAGAGACAAAAATCCATAATATCAGCCTTATTTACCAGTGGCTGGTTTTGTTGCCAAATGCTACTCTGAACATCTAAAACGTGTTATCAGTCCACAAAATGGAAAGCCAAAACATTTGGGTTGCATTGACCCATTGCACTACCTTGTCTAAATTATTTATATCATGTCTGCTTCACCATAGGAAAACACTTGCTGTATTGAGGACCAACAGGCAGCTATGACCAAGGATAGTCCGAGTATATCACCATGTCAGAATGCCAGGGCCAAGGAAAGATAACAATGAGAGGGGAGGACAGGGGCTTATACAAGACCCCAAGGATGGCTCTCTGCTTCAGATGCCTCCTGGCCCTCAGAGCACAGAGATTCATGTGGCTAGAAGTGGAAATTTCAATTTATGATGAGGCTAGAATACATGACACCAGCTTGCAGAGCTCTCCCACCTGAGGAACTACCTAGGAAAAACTCTATTACAGGTCCCTTCAGAGTTCCCCTTGTCTGAAACTTTCATGAAAGGAACGTTCTCTGCCAGGCTGTTGTTGAGACTTTTAATTAATTACAGTTCAATTCTGTTTCCATTAACTGCAAAGAAAACAGAATCAGCCCCTCAAGGTTTGGAAAGTTCTGTGAAAGAAGTTACAGAAGTGTGAAATCGCACTTTTGTTCCTGAACAATGCATCTGCTCCTGTAGCTTCTTTCCCAACTGATGTCATAATCCATTTTGTGACATCACAGGTGGTTGCCATGGAAAAGTTTATGAAATCCTCATAGAAGGGTTTGGTAGAAGGATCACTTTGTGAAGGGAATAAGCAGCATATATATTTAAACAATGAATGTATATTCATTATTATGTCCCATATTAGCAAGAAGAAAAAAAAAAGGAAGAAATTGCTAATGATGTGTGAGCTGTGAGCAGATTTACTTTTTCAAGAAATGTTTTCTCAGCTGTTACCATGAGGTAATAGTAAAGAGTTTCATCTATGCAAAATGAAAGTCTATGCATCCATGAAAGGCAGGTCCTGCCTGACCAACCTAATCTCCTTCTATGACCAGGTGACCCACCTAGTGGATGAGGGAAAGGCTGTGGATGTGGTCTCCCTGGACTTCAGCAAGGCCTTTGACCCCGTCTCCCACAGCATTCTCCTAGAGAAGCTGGCGGCTCACGGCTTAGACAGGTGGACTCTGCGCTGGGTCAAAAACTGGCTGGACGGCCGGGCCCAGAGAGTTGTGGTGAATGGAGTCAAATCCAGTTGGCGGCCGGTCACGAGCGGTGTTCCCCAGGGCTCAGTACTGGGGCCGGTCTTGTTTAATATCTTTATCGATGATCTGGATGAGGGGATCGAGTGCACCCTCAGTAAGTTTGCAGACGACACCAAGCTGGGCGGGAGTGTTGATCTGCTCGAGGGTAGGAAGGCTCTGCAGAGGGACCTGGACAGGCTGGATCGATGGGCCCAGGCCAACTGTATGAGGTTCAACAAGGCCAAGTGCCGGGTCCTGCACTTCGGCCACAACAACCCCATGCAGCGCTACAGGCTTGGGGAAGAGTGGCTGGAAAGCTGCCTGGTGGAAAAGGACCTGGGGGTGCTGGTCGACAGCCGGCTGAACATGAGCCGGCAGTGTGCCCAGGCGGCCAAGAAGGCCAATGGCATCCTGGCCTGTATCAGAAATAGTGTGGCCAGCAGGAGTAGGGAAGCGATCGTGCCCCTGTACTCGGCCCTGGTGAGGCCGCACCTCAAATACTGTGTTCAGTTTTGGGCCCCTCACTACAAGAAGGACATCGAGGTGCGGGAGCATGTCCAGAGAAGGGCAACGCGGCTGGTGAAGGGTCTGGAGAACAAGTCTTATGAGGATCGGCTGAGGGAACTGGGACTGTTTAGCCTGGAGAAAAGGAGGCTGAGGGGAGACCTCATCGCTCTCTACAACTACCTGAAAGGAGGTTGTAGCGAGGTGGGTGTCGGTCTCTTCTCCCAAGTAACAAGCGATAGGACGAGAGGAAATGGCCTCAAGTTGCGGCAGGGGAGGTTTAGATTGGATGTAAGGAAAAATGTCTTTACTGAAAGAGTGGTTAAACATTGGAACAGGCTGCCCAGGGAAGTGGTGGAGTCCCCATCCCTGGAGGTATTTAAAAGACGAGTAGATGAGGCACTTAGGGACATGGTTTAGTGGACATGGTGGTGTTGGGTTGACGGTTGGACTCGATGATCTTAGAGGTCTTTTCCAACCTTAATGATTCTATGATTCTATGAAAATACTTTTATCTACTACTATTTCTTGGGCTGATTTTTTTTTTTCTCTTACTGTGGATTGTTAACCATTATGCATTTTTCATTACATATATATCTAAGCCATCTTTAGCAAAGTATGACAGGGGAAGTAGACCTGGTCAAAAGAAATGAAACACCACCCTGGTGACAGAAATGGCTAAATAATGAAATTATTAAACATAACCTTGTACCAACATGCCAGTGTTCTGCATACGCCAGTAAACTCACTGAAAACCATGAGACTACTACACATAACAGCACACCAAAACACCAAAATGTATCATGAGTTTGCTTATCAGATCTATACAGTTCATTTAAACTATACTACTTCCAAGAAAAAAAAAAAAAGACTGAGCAAATGAAACTCAGACAGCAGGCTTCTCGAAACACACACAGAAATTCAGTGAGAAATCCCATGTGTTAAACACCAACTTCTGCAGGGTTTACAAGAGAACACATCCTAAATTTTTACCTTTGCAACCACAGAATAACTAAAAATATTATGCCCAAAGTAATTAAAAATTTTCTTACTTTCTTAAAAACTAAAAGTATTTCTGCTGTATTCATTCACAATGAAAATCAGTCTTAGCATATATCTTTTATAAATCTGTCACGTGTTTACCATCATTTACTGTATAACTTTCAGCAGTGTATGATAAATTATAGGATAACAAATTTATGTTCCAAATCTCCAAAGATTCCTCCACACATTTAATGGAACAATTCCTAGTACTTCAATTTATGTATATTGATAAATCTGAGCAAGCAAGTGGCTTAATTTTGTCAAAATAAAAGACAATGCAGTTTGTATTTTTAATCCAATTCTAATACATAAATATATGTATTTGTAGATCATAAAAAATCCAAAGAAAAACTTTAAATACTTTTGTTTTTCTGTATTCTGATTTGAAATGTGTGTGCTGAGCCTTGGGAGAGCAAACAGCAGAATTGTCTTTGAGCAGAAATATAAATTCCACTATTTCCTACCTTCCAGTGATGAGAGTTGCTGTTCAGCTTCCAAATACAACTGAGAAAAGATTGGTCTGGGAACTAAGTTGTTTGAGCGGAGAGAGGCCTCAATAGAATTATGCAACACTTCTTCAAACCGTGTTGTCTTGAGCTGACCAGCGTAAGAATTTCCCATCTTCTCAAACAAAAAAGAGACAAGAAGAAAAAAAAAAGGTATTTCAATTTTAGCAGTCAGAACTTGATCACTGCATGTTGATGTCAGACTACAACATTTCTCATGAAAGAGAGAAGCTTCAGTGTCCACAAAGAAAGGCAAAGGAAAAGAACATTGACTGCAGCAGTCGCTGAGCAGATCCTGCTGGTAAATTACAGGAAGTTATCTAAAAGTAACAGCTTTCTCTAATTCAGCAGAAAGGCAGCAAGCTTTGACACCTTCTTGAAGATGTGGCTAGAAATCTAATTTGAGTAATTTCTTGGTTTATATAGCAACTGAGGAGATGCATTTTCAATAGTCAGCAATCTCATCTGTTAAACAGCCTTTCTGTTTTACATGATTTGAACAGAATAAATGTTAAAGGATCTGGGGAATAGCAGTTTGTGTATTTATCTTTGCATGGCCCATCATGGCTGAAAACTCATGGCTAAAGCAGTTCAACATATCTTTTAGAGGTGCTGTCTCAAAAATAACGTAGCATTGCTGTAACTCAGATATTGTGAAATAGAATGGCTTTACCTTCTCACCTTAAGCAGTATTTTTCCCTGTAAACATGCATTTTTTTTTTTTTAATGAGACATTATCAATTATCTATTTGATTTTGCATTTAATTAGTAAGACTTTCTTGTTAGTGAAACCGCATAATTTACTCCTCCTGTCATTGAAGAGGCAGTCTATTCCAGCTGAATATCCCACATACTTAACTGCTGCCAGCTTTCCACAGTGAATACAATGAACTGGTATAACCAAAAGCCATGTCAGCTTTCTTTTCCTATTACAAAGTAGCTCTTGCCCTGGGCCCCATGTCCTTTCCCTCCTCAAGTAACTGTGAATAGAAAGCACGAAACGCTTCCTGTTTGTGGCAGTAATTCCTAAACACTGAACAGCCCCTCCTCAGCACTGGGTACTGCTTGGGAAATGAGCCTGTTGGGAAGCATCCTGTAGGAATCAGTCAAGCAAAAGAAAAACTACTGTGAAACCACATACTGATCTTGATGGCAAAAGGGGTTTGAAAGGAACAGCACACAAAGTTGACGATTTGGATATCTTTTTATGAGTTTATAAAGCATATTTTACATATATAATCACATTTTTGTATACTTGTTTGTATCATGTTAATGCTATATAGATAGTATAATTAATACTATATAATATAGCATATTCATACTATATATAGTATTAATAGAAGCACAATAAGAATTTTAAAACAATGCAGGCAGCATTTAAGAACATGATCTAGATTAAAAGCAGGCACTACTGACAAAATATTCATGTATATGCACAAAATCAAACAGAAAAGTTGCAGTGAGTAGTACTGATGTACCCATTTGGTGAAGGGTAGATGGGAAGCTGCAAAGCCTGTTAATGATGTTCAGTGCTAAAATGGAAGTGAGGATGCATCTTCTCTTCCAACACAAAAAGCAGATTACAGTTCCCTTTCTGCATTGATAGGAACCCTCTGGCTCCTCTTGTTTTAAGTACTGCTTCATCTACACCAAACACAGCTGAAGACAATGAGGAAAGCCTGACATTAGTATTGTCCTTAAAAAGCTTTATCAGAAGTGTACGCAGGAAACCCAAGGTCAAGCTCTGAAATGAATTATACTAAATGCTGTTTCTACACAAAAGCACTAGAAGATGTTTAGTTCTAATTCTAATCCATCTTTCAACCATTATATGACTGTCAAGTATCTTGATAATTATTGGTCTTTGTTACATTGATGTTTTATGTTTAATGTAACAGGAACAAATAATTATCAAGATAGCTGACAGATACCTATTTAATTCTTTGTTCTTTTAAATTCCTTCCCATATTATGAACTCATATTTTCTCATTAGATTGGAAGCACCTGCAGGCTCAGGGACCCACCTCTACATTTTCAGGTGCAGGTATAATATTGTTCTACACGACTGTTCATCACAGTCTTGAAAGTCCAGACTGAAGAGAAATAAAAATATATGAACATGCTCTCAACATGTTAACATTCAAAGTTACACCTTCAGGAATGGAAACGGCATTCAGCTATCATCCATTCCACACACTTTCTTACATAGACTGCTTTATTTAAATACAGAGCCAAAACATGAAAAAATTATATAACATCCAAAAGACTTTTTGCACTTAAAAAAAAAAAATCACTGATACAGCACAAAGAGAATCCAAAAGTTTGACTGCAGTGGCAGAGGCTTGTCTTACAAAGGGCTGGATTCTACCTGTTCTCAACATGACCATGCAAAGCAGACTGGTCTACCTGATTTTCAAACTTATTACTTCTTGAAAAGCTTCACTAAATAGGAATGAAAAATAGGAAGTTTTTTTTAATTCATCCAGAGTGAGACAAAACATTCTGAGACAGCTCAAAAGCATTACCAGACGAATAGGCACACAGACTGCTTTATGCAATGAAGGCTTACTTGCTCTACTGATCACTATCTGGATCTAATTGCGATGAATGAGAAAACACTGTAATATTTCTGTTTATAAACTCTATTCCATAGACATAGTCAGCTATTATCCTGTACAGTTTTGTTAGGAACAGAAATAGATTTAACATTTACAGGGATTTAACACACATGCTCAGGATTCACAGAGTCCACTAGTGGACAAAACAGAAACTGTTATTTAACCCTGGGGATGGCAGAAACCAGCGTCTTACCGATGTGATGTTTACAGATAAGGAATCAGTTAAGATTAAGTTATTTGTGCAAGGGGCAGGTCCTGGAATCCTTTACAACATAAACATGTTTGTTTATCCATTGGGGTGCTAATTTAATTATGTGAATGGGTTTGTAAAATGAAACAAAAATATGCTTTCTGGATTTGTACACCTGGTAAGCTCTCGTGTACCTGTGGGATCTTACAATCACAGTGCCAAACACAATCATAAATCCAGGAACATACTTTGGAAGATGTGATAAGCATTTTATAGCCATTTTTCATCATCACACACACACCACTGGAACCAGAAAATAGGCATTGCAGGAGCTTTTTTTGCCAGCATCAGCCTTTGTCATTCAGAGTCCCAGTGACTCTCTCAGTTGCAGGAGAAATTACTTCTACGAAGCAAGCAAGGGGGAAGCTGTTTCTCACTAACTCTACGATGGTTGTCATCCCCTCTTCTCTTTAAAGCTGCTCAGACTGCAGTACCTGAATTGTAAATTGCTGACTCTGTGGCACCAGGAAGCAAAGGCTTTGAGTCCTATTTCCCTGCTTCAATGAACTCAGCGTTCCCAGCCCAGATTTATGTCTCTCTTGGATACAAGTGGGTGGCACAGGCTAAACTTTCAAATGCTTGTGAAATTCCAAGCCATGAACATAGACGGTGATCAGATCTATTAAAAAAAAACACCACCACAGTGACACAGAAGGATAGCCCTCGACCCCAACTACTGATCAATCAAAGGGCACCTCCCTATCACACTGTCAGTCTCCATGGAAAGCATGCAGAGAAAAATACTTGCCAATACAAAGGGGAGAAAAAAGGGAAGGACCTGGACCTGGAAGAGCTGCTTAAAACCAGGACAAAAAGAAGAAAACCACTCTGAGGAACTTGGGAGCCTAAGAAACAATTGCAGATACAAACAAAGCAGGTCACGCCAATGTCTTAGAAACCCATGGATAATGCTGCCAAAGAGAGATGCCAAGTCCAGGCATCTGAAAATGAGAGTAGAAGTGTGTTAGTCACTGAAGAGAACAGCCCTCAAATTCCAAACAAGGAACTGTCAGGATTCCTGTGGCAAACAGGGATTACATGACTAGGAAAAACAGGGATCTTAAGGGTTAATGTCTATCACATACAGAGTCAACTTCAAGTTCAGCTGCAGTTGAACTAGTCAGGATTTGAAGAAAACCTACACTGTTCTGCTATGACCCTGTACTCCAGCTGCTGTGATTTAGAAAAGGAGTTCCCTCTCAGCCACGAGGGCAGTACTGACCACAAGAGCCATGACAGCCACTGGTCACGATAACACAAAGCGATTGCCAGCAGCAGAAGGACATGCAGTCCCATCACCTAGATCTTGGAGGGAGATCTTTGCGCAGTGGAACAAAGACGGTAACACACTAGTGGCTTTTTAGTTGCAGTTGTCTGTGATAAAGATCAGTGAAGAGTATTAAGATTTTGTGAAGACTGAAGATCTAGCACAGAAATTCTGGTCAAAATTTGTCCTATACCTAGGACAGACTGGGTATCCTAAGGAAAGCTATGGACTTTAGAGCATGGAAATTAGTCCAGGGCTTTTGACAACTCCCATTGAAATAGACTGATAAAGAAAGTCTGCCTTCAGCAGAAACTGAGTAAAGTAAAGAATATATGTGGGCTGTGTAAAGAAGGCCTGAAAAAATAGTCAAGGGATCTAAGTGGGAAATTAGGAAGACACAGTTAATTATTAACAAATTCAATCTTAGATACAACTTACAAATTATTACAGGAGGAAAAGTTTCATATTAAGTTGCGGATTTTTTGCATTCTAAAATATAATTGACATTACTACTGTAATATATTCCAGCAAAACAGTATAGCAATGGATACATTTTCCCAGTTTAAGCAGCCAGCTTTCATACTTTTGAAACGGCCTAACAGAGTAATTTCTATTGTATCATTTCTAAGAGGAGAATGGTAGGATGTTTCCAAGCTCACTGTTATTCCAAAATAATTTGTTATTGCTATGGCAAGCGGCACTTCATCACTTGCATAAAATGAGGGGTTTTGTTGGGATGAACTATGGATTTAGGTATCCAAAAGGCTATCTGGGAGGAGAAAGCATTCTTTACTGCAGGTAAACAATTTGTTCACAGATCAGTACCGGAAAAGTTGTAAGTGTGATCCTTTTGCTCTTTGAACATGAGTTAAATCCACCTAGTAACATCCAAAATCCATCAATATTTCTAAAGTTCGGTACAGTCTCTAATAATTCTTGAAAACCTGTATTAAAAACAACAATCTGATTAAGAAGAAAGA